AGAGAGAGAGAGAGAGAGAGAAAGAGGGTGATGGAGTGAGGCCTCACAGACGAGGAGGCTCGTGATTAAAAAAAAAAAAACAGACCCCCATCCCGGCCAAGAGGCCCGCCTAAGGATGCGCGGCAGCCCGTAGGGGATCGTAAAAAAAAAAAAACAAAAAAACAAAAAACAAAAAACAAGGAGACAAGGAAGGTTGAGCAATACCTTATTCATAAGCCCACGGGTCGTCCCCATGACCAAAAGGCTAATCACCTAATACACCCTACCCCGGCTGCCCCCAACGTGCAGTGGCAGACGACAAGTGGCAAGATGCGGAGTGGGACCCGTACGAGAACGCGGTCATGGACGGCACGGTGAAGGTCATGCGCAACCGATTGCGGAACCAACTCCACTGGTGGATATCGTGGTGCGACAGCATTTTCATCATCTCAATCATTGCCAGGGGTTATTGGCTGCCTTGGAAGAACACCGAACCGCCACCCTTTGAAACCGCAAACCACGCAGGTGTCCACGCACACACGACGTTCACTCGTGAGGCCATTCGCGATTTAATCACATCAGGCGCGGCAATGAAGGTCTCCTCGCGGACCTCGCTCTCGTGCATAAGTCCACTCAACGTGGTGGAACAACGCGACAAATGCCGCCTCATCTTCGACCTACGCAAGGTCAATCAACAATTTCAAGTTCCCAAATTCAAATACGAAGGTTTAAATCGGGTCTCAGAGATCATTAGACGCAACGACTGGCTGTTCACCATCGACCTCAAATCGGGTTACCACCACGTCAAGATACACCCCTCATGCTGGAAGTTCCTAGGCTTCCATTTTGAAGGCGAGTTCTACTGCTTTCGAGCTCTGCCGTTCGGATTGGCAACAGCACCTTTCGTCTTCACCCAGTTGATCAAGCAATTGGCCAAACGCTGGCGTGCACGTGGCGTGCGTGTAGTACCATATGTCGACGACATGCTATTCCTCTGCGACTCCGCAGAGCAAGCGCGCAAGACATGCACAGAGGTTCTACACGATCTGGGGATGGCATGTTTTGTGATCAACGAGAAGAAATCGCGCCTCCAACCGGCCCGTCAAACACGGTTTTTGGGGATGGAGCTTAACACAAAGTGCGGCACGTTCAGCATCGGGTCCGAACGGCGGGCACAGTTCCTAGAAACGCTCAACACGCTTATCTGCAAAGGGCAACGCGACCAACAAGTCCCAATTCGGCAAGTCGCTAGTATCACCGGAATGTTGAGCTCCATGTCCCTAGCATTGGGCACGACGGCACGCGCCTTCAGCCACGAGCTGCTACATTTGATTGAGGCAGCGGCGTCTTGGCACTCAAGGATCCGGCTACCACAAGCCGCCATCGAGGAGCTCATTTTTTGGCAACTGCACTTTGACCAATTTAACGGTGCCCCGTTTCACCTAAGCCATCAATTCGATGATGTGATCCACGTCGACGCGAGCGCTCACAGCTGGGGCGCCATCCTCACAAAGTTTGCCGACGCTTCGTACGAGGCAAGCGCCAGTATGCCAATTGAGCTCCTCCCAACCTCAAGCACTCAAAGGGAGCTCGAGGGAGTCCTATGGGCGCTGCAGACATTTGCGGCCCACATCACCAATGGCCATGTCTTGGTCCGCGTGGACAACCAAGGAGTCATGTTCATCTTGCGCAAAGGGGGGTCCAGCCAACCCCGGCTGACACTGACATGTCAAGCGGTCATACAGTTCTGCCTCAAGAACCACACACGTCTGGCGATCGAATGGATCCCAAGGGAGCTAAATGCCCACGCGGACGAACTGTCCAAAATCCAGGACCATGACGACTACTCTCTGCAAACGCCATGGTTTCTCCTGCTGGAGCGTCGATGGGGTCCCCATACGATCGACGCCAGCAACAAGAAGCTGCAACGATTTTGCTCCAAAATACCGCACCCAAGCGCTACTGCAATCGACGTGTTCTCGATCTCATGGACAGGCGAGCGCTGCTTCACATTTCCGCCCCCCGGCTTGATCCCGGCCACGCTTTCTCACGCCAGGCGCACACAAGCCGAGTTGACACTTGTTGTCCCTGAGTGGCCGGGAGCAGCATGGTGGCCGCTGCTACAACCCTCCCCACAAACATGGGCCCTAGAAGTGATCGCATGCTTGCGTCTCGCTCAAGGAAGCCAGTGCCTTCGACCTGGCTCGCACGCAACGGCATTCTCCGGACTCGGCCTGCCACATAGCCCAATCATTGCCTTGCGTGTAAAAGACAACATGTAACTGATATTCGAATGTTAACTCTTTCAGGATTGCTGACCAAGCTTCAAAAGCAACTGTTACGAGTTATCACGCATGTTCGCGCGCCGTCCACGATCGAGACATACCAGCCATACTGGCTCAAGTTTCGCAGCTTCTGCACTCAAGTCAAGTTGGTATTTCTGCCAGCAACGGACCTCACGCTGGCACTCTACCTAGTCCACGCGCTGAACAACAAGGCCACCATATCAGCGATCAGCCTCACATGCTCCGCCGTGGCCTTCGCACATCGGATGACCGGAGAGGCATCCCCAACGAACGGCCCGTTCACGCTGCAAGTACGAGAGTTTGCTAAGCGACATGGCCCCCGCCCGACAAGGACCAAGGAACCCGTGTCACTCCATCAGGTGCACAACATGGCACGACCCTTCCTGGAGTCAACGGTGCCGGCGGAATATCAGAAAGGCTTGATACCTCTCTTGATGTTCGCAGCATTCCTGCGCTACTCCGATTTGATATCCCTCCAATGGAACGACATCCAGTTCGAAGGGGCGGCAATGTGGCTCCTAATCCCGTACTCCAAGACGGACCAGGAAGGCAAGGGCACGTGGATCCCGGTCGCGGCGACGGCAGGGCCTTACTGCGCAGTGAGATGCACACGGGAGTTCATTCGCATCGCAGGCCTCGCGAATACGCCACACGGGCCACTGATCCAGGTGTTCAACAAAGGGGCACAAGCCTCGCCGCATGACAAATCGCCTTCGTATACAACCATCCGGAGCTGGTGCCTCGAGGCTTGCAAGAAGGCAGGGCTGGACGCCACGCACATCGGAACACACTCTTTCCGCAAGGGCGCAGCAACAGCAGCAGCTGCCTTAGGCATCCCCGACCGGCTCTTCAAACGAATGGGTCGATGGCGAAGCGATGGCGCGAAGGACCTCTACGTCACCATCGCCCAAGACCAACTCATCGACCTCTCCACCCAGCTGCAGGACACCTCCACCGCCCCATCGCCTGTTAGCCACCAGCAGTCATTGGAGAGGCACCGCCGACCCATAATGCACTTGCCTCAGAAGACCCATTTGGAATGAAGCACGCTGCATTTGCAAGATGGACTAAGCAAAGCTTTCACAATATTATAATTTTTAAAAGTGTAACACTTTTTCAAAATTCGTATTGTGAAAGCGAGGACGTGGCCAACGCAGCAAAGGTAGCGGCTCGACGCTACTCACCCCTCTTTTGCCTACAAAAGAGGAACGTGATTTCAGTAGCTCCACCCACGTTCTTCATTTCCAATTTCTAGTTTTACTTTCCCACCACCCACCCCATTGTGTATCATTGATGGACGAGAACGTTGTAACTTCCCATTTGGAATGAAGCACGCTGCCTTTGCAAGATGGACTAAGCAAAGCTTTCACAATCCATGTGTGGTAACAGGAGTTGTTTGAGTTAGGTACGGGACATCAACAGCTGTGTAGCAATAAGTTGCAGTCTACTAGTATCCCGTAGAAAATAATAAAAAAAGAGCAAGCTGTGGAACCAGTTTGAACTCTGGTTCGAACTAGAGTAAGGAGGGCTGGGGGCAATGCATGGACTTAGGCCTAGGGAGGGGGGCAATGCATGGACCTAGGGGGGAAAGATGAATTGTGTGGCTGGGCAATGCAGGGACCTTAAGGAAAAGATGATTTGTATGATGAATGCAATGGCACTAGTTCTCACATGGTCAATAATTCCCTCTAATTCATCTCCATGAGCAAAGAAATTCTCCTGAAATAGGCTACTATTATTAATTCTCCGTACTACCACAAATTTCGAGAGACACCCGTCACATTCGTTTACTGTAGTGCTCGCAAGAACATGTATGAGTAGACAGACATCAACAACCACCAACCTGGTGGCTGCACCCACCTACCCCAACTGTCTGTCCTCTTCAGATGCCACCTCTATCAAACCTAGGTCCTGATTTCGATTCCTTGATCCTGATTCGCTGATTCTTGTTCTCCCCTGTCCTGACGGATTGTCTAGTACACCTGCAAGCCAACGGTCTCAAATGCAATGTCACTCATCCATCGAACAGAGACCTGCATTGAGCGCCTGGTACAATTTCGAGAATCGAGAGGCAATTGGTTGGATGGAGGTTGCTGCTCCTTGGTGTCAGTAATCGTTGCGACTGGTGTCTGTCGAACACGATAAGTTGTCGCGAGCCATGACATCCTGAACTCCCCTTCATTGTATTATTCCTTTCCCTGAGCACCTCCTATCCGTGCTGGAGATTATTCGAGCTACGGTTATTCGACAGACATTCGCGTGTTCTAACTTGCAGCAAATCGTCACGCGAACATGGCTAATCATCCACTATGGAACAAACTTGCAGTGGCATGGCAAAGAAACAAGACCATGCTTCAGATTGCAATCCCAGCGACGATCGCATTGGCTTTCATTCTCGCAGTTGCTTTACAACCGGCGACTCACGGCGCTCCTGAAGAGCTTGCAGCTGCATTGACAGAAATAGATGAATCCGATCCACAAAACAATATCCTGCCTGGCGGTAACATGCTTAACGTTGACGGATTGGGAGTCGATGGTCTAGACGTAGGTGCAGGTCAGCCAGCGACCGGAAATGGAGCGGCTGGTCTCCTTCGCGGAAACAGTCCTGCAGGAGAGGGAACGACGACTCAGTCGCAGAGTGAATCCAGTAGCGGAAAATTGGCAAGCGGGGATACAGGATCCGGTGGTGGTGTGGGAGCCGGCCAAGAGTACACGATGGAAGCCCTTCCCACAGCAAGACAAGTGGAAGGCGCCGCTGTGTGCCACGAAGAACAGTCTTTCTGGGTAAGCAAGCCGCGGCTCTTCTGATCCAACTAACTTAGCTCCTACCTGCTGCGTAATTGGAGGTAACTTCCTTATCCTGCAATTCTTGGGAATTACCGAGAGTGCGCCTCCTTCTGCAAGTGATTTCTAGTTGAGCTATAGTATCTCATTTCTAACTTGGCTGAAGATCGGGTTACCTGGTGGTTGTCCTGTTTCGCACATATTAAAGGTACCCCAACCCCTTAACCCTGAATCTTGTTCCAATGCTGATACTCGGTCGAGCTGATTGATTACCAACCTTTGTCTCTCCCTTCCTCCCCAGGTGAACTCGCGCCTGCGCACGGTGGCGTGCAACGCATCGCAGCCGTTGATCACGAATGCGCCTGACATGCTCAACAACATCTTCGTGCCGCTCTACGCCTGCCCCTTCCAGGAACGCCTCGGGCCCTGGGGCGAAGGCGGCAAGGTCAGTCACACAGGGGAGAGGAGGGCTTGGAACGAAATTTGAACCTGACGAGTTTTATTAATTAATATTATAAGAAATTGCTGTCTAAGAAGTGGAGGAACGAAATTTTGAAGATTCAACTTTCAATTTTTGAAACAGCCAGATAACTCACATCCCATTGCATGCACCCTTTTTCTGTCACCATTTTCTCCCCTCTTTTCCCTACCCCGATCCTCTTCCAGTGGATATGTAATGTGCCATCAGCAATCCAGCCCAATCCTATTATCTACAGGTATGGTAACATTTGTTTGTCTTCCAGCCAAGTCTCAATCAAGCCTATCAGGACCAGGTCTTACATCCATGCGCCACCAATGCTTCTTCCGAAGCACTGAACCTACCAACAATATTGCGTTATCGCGTAGCTCCTTGCGCCACAGAACAGAACTTCCCTAGCCCTTGTCAAGCGCCTAACTGGTTCTCAGACTCCAGTGTTTGAAAGCATGATCCGTGCTTGAAATTATGCCGCATTCTCCACCTCCAGGGGTGCACATCTTGCTAGCCTTCTGTAATCAGTCTATTGACTTTCCAACCTCATGTTCCCTTTTGCCTTCCCTTCTCTCTCTGTCCCTTGCATCACCAGCATTCACTCCAACGCAGCGTACGGCTTTGAGCTGGCGGCGTCCATAGCGCTGCACACGCGGCCGCATGTGTTCAGCTCGTCGCTGTCGGCGGAGCAGCAGGCGGCAGTGAGGGCGGTGGCGCACGTGGAGTTCCACGAGGCGGGGCTGGCGCTGGCCAAGGACGCCAAGCCCACGGACGTCTCGCTGCCCGACCTGCTGGCTGCGGCCAAGCACACCTACGTGGACGTGCTCTACCTCGCAGCGGACTGCCCCGAGTGTGAGGTTGCCTTCATCCGCCAACTCAACGCCTCCTACGGCTCCAACCCCGCCTCCGGCCTCTCCCGCTCAGGAGGCCTGCTGCCCTTCGGCCAGATCATGATGCTGCTCAGCCAGTAAGTCCTGTCTTGCACCTGTGTCTGCATTTGCATGCACCTATGCCTGCATTGCATTCACGTGGTTACGAGTTCAAGCCAGGCTGTGGCTGTTGCTGTTGCTGTACAGAGAATAATACCTGGTGGGACGGGGAAAAGGGTGCTGGTCCTGATTCCTATCTTTGTTGAAGTCTCACGTTCAGTATGATGCGCTAGTTTCTTGTGCCAAATTACTCAATGTGCATGTGTGTTCACTTGTGTGTGTGTGTGTGTGTGTGTACGTGTGTGTGTGTACGTGTGTGTGTGTGTGTGCGTGCGTGCGTGTGTGTGAGTGTGTGTTTTTGTGTTTGAGTGTGCGTGTGTGAATTCGTGGGAGTGTGTGGATGTATGCATGTGTGTGTGTCGGTTCATGTATTCATGTGTCTTTGTGCATGTATGCGTCTGTGTCTGTCTGCATGTATGTCTGTATGTGTGTACTTGTGTGCATGCGTCTGTGCATCTGCATTACTGTGCGTCCACATGGGAAACGGCATTGCGCGCAACCATTGATGTGATGCCTTTTTCTGTGCCTGCATGGGGCTGTGCGGGATGGCACTACGTGAAACAGCATAGGGCAGACGCGGCAGATGCTAGAGGTGGAGTACACGTTGGAGAATCTGGGCTACCGATTGTTCCACGTGGAGACCAAGCCCAACGGCCACCTGGAGGTGGCCTACATCCACGCCTCCCTTGTGCAGCCGCCCCAACCCGCTGACTGCCCCGTCGACACTGCCGGCCTCAAGTACCCCGACCACCAGCAGATTGACGATGCCTCACTGTGCCATGCTGAGTCTACTTATCAGGTGGGTCGTCGGCTAGAAGGAGTGGAATCTATGAGCTGACAATGGGAAATTGACGTCGGCATCGAAGGTTTGGGGGAATGGATCAGGACGAAGTGGGGAAGTGGAATGGCTGAGTGTAGGAGTTGTACATGATTCTTCGTGAAGTGTTGTTCCCCCCGTTTGTGTGTCAAGTTGACCTCTCAAAATCTGCCCCAGCGCTTGTTTACGGATGTCCCATCTGAGCTCTCTTCGTCCGTCGCCCTGTTGCCAGGTGAACATGGCGCTGCGGCGGGCGGCACTGGGGGCGGAGCAGCCGCTGACGCTGTCGCTGGCGGAGATGAAGGAGCTCATCTACGTGCCGCTCTACCCCTGCCCCTATGAGGAACGCATTGGCGAGTGGGGTGACGGCGGCAAGGTGCGCTCACGTTACAGATCTGTTTCTCACCTTCTTTGCAACTCTTGCTGTTATCACAATACCAAGGGCCAACAGCGTATTCTTGTGCTGCATTTACCACTGCAATATCATCTCACCCTCAGCATCCTTTGCCAATCGTCTCTGCATCCTTGTTTTACCATGACCCGTCTGCAGTGGATCTGCATGATTCCAACGGCGTTACAGTCCAAGCCTCTCGTGTACAGGTACTCTTTCCTCACCTCGTTTGTCATTCATTGAAACTCTACCTTTGTTCCACTGGATATTGGATCGGATGGTTGCTTGCAGCTTGGACCTTATGCCCTCCGTATTCTCCCTGTTTCCTGTCAACTTAGAAGTCTGTTTTTTCTATTCTTCCTGTTCTCTACTGGTTGACTACCCTGCACCAGTGTGGGGAGCAACGAGCAGTTTGCGTTTGAGCAGGGCATGGCGGAGTCGGTGCGCACCAAGGCGTTCACGTTTGACCCGTTCATCACGGCGACGCAGCAGGCGCACATGCGCTCGCTGCCCTTCCTGCACTTCCACGCCATCGGCGTGGCGGGCGAGGAGTCGCTGGCGTACTACCACAAGCAGAACCCCGACTACGACTTCAAGACGCTCGCACAGCTCATGCTCTTCCTCAACCATACCTATGTCGACGTGCTCAAGATCGACTGCGAGGGCTGCGAGGTCGCCTTTGTGCGCGACATCGCCCGCGCCTACGGCTCCGAACCCGCCACCCTCGCCAGCAAGGGCGGCGTGCTGCCCTTCGGCCAAGTGCTCATGGAACTGCACCAGTACGTTCACCTCCTTACTAATTAACCCTTCCGTCCAAACATAGCCATCTCCTTCCCTTTTTCTGTTTCTTGTGGTTTTTGTTCCTCCACAATCTCAATCTCCTGCACCCTATGCCCCTTGTCTTTCCCATCCTCTCCATCGGCTTCTTCTTTACTGCAATTGCAGCCATTCCTGTGTTACGCCTCCCCTCTCACCAGCCTTCTATTCCCTCCTCCCCTCGGCTCCCTCTCTGACTGGCATGGCAGGATCACGAACACCAAGGCGATGCTGGCGCTGCTGTACACGTTTGAGAGTCTGGGGTACCGGCTGTTCCACGTGGAGACGAACCCGCTGTGCCTCATCTGCATCGAGGTGGCCTACATCCACGACTCCCTCCTCCAGCCCGCCAACCCCCAGGCCTGCCCCAAAGCCCCCCTCAACGACCCTGCCACCCTCGCCAAAATCTCAGCTACTGGTAGTGCTAAAGCCGCTGTTGCTGCTGACGTGGGCAGTGCAGAAGCAGCCAAGGACGCTCCAGCAGCAGTTAAGGAACCTGAAGGTGCACCAGCAGCAGCTGCAGCAGCATCAGAGGCAGAGGCAGGTGATGCAACATCAGGGGCCATTTCCCCTGTGACGGATGCAGTAGACGGAGACTCGGAAAAGCCTGTTGTAGGAACAGGGTTGGGAGATGCAGAGGAGAAGGTCGAGAAAGGAGAGGAGGCGGCACATTTGGGAGGCGAGACAGCAGTGCAAGGTGCTGAGGCCGGTGCTGCTGATGCAACCAGTGCTGCTGATATTACCACTCCTGCTGATACTGCCAGTGCTGCTGGTGCTGCCAGTGCAACCGCCACCACTGACGCTGCTGAGCCTGATGCAAATGCCAAGAGCCCTTTAGAGTCTGGTTCTAGCTCTGGCAGCAGCGGGTTAAATTTGTTGGATCCAGACGATGCTAGTCCTGAGTCTACTGGTAACGCCTTGAGGCTTATCAACAATGAAAGCGGCAGCAGCGGTGGAGCTAATGCAGAGGGAACCAGCAGTAGCACAGTGAGCAGCAGTAGTACGAGTAGCAGCAGTAGCAGTGACAGTAGCATAGTGGCAAGTGGGGCGACGAGTGACATTGCATGGAAGGAGCCTCTGGGGGATAGCAGCCATGTGGATGGTTCTGCTCTCTGCCACGCTGACCGCTCCTATTATGTGAGCGCCACACGCACCCATTGCACAGCCAAGCTCTGAATTCACCCATCAAGACGAACCATTTTGAAGACTTTTGCATTTACTGTAAACCTCAATGTTATGTTCTGCGTTTTATGTTTTTTTCTTACACCCTCACCTTCCTGCCCATGCTATTTCATTACCTTTTCCTTGTTATCTTCCATACTTGAATTCTTGCTGTGCTGCCTTCGTATGTGTTTTCCCCCAGGTGAACTCGCGCCTGCGCACGGTGGCGTGCAACGCATCGCAGCCGTTGATCACGAATGCGCCTGACATGCTCAACAACATCTTCGTGCCGCTCTACGCCTGCCCCTTCCAGGAACGCCTCGGGCCGTGGGGCGAAGGCGGCAAGGTCAGTCACACCTGGGAAGGGTTCCATCTGAGTTGGGCATCGTTGGTTTGTCGTCCTGTAGCTTGGCTTTACCTATTCATCCTTTCTATCGCCATGATGTGTTTCCAACCCCCCTGCTCCCCCTTCACATCTCTTCCCACAGTGGGTGTGCATGGCCCCAGCTGCCTTTCAGTCAGCGCCAGTTGTTTACAGGTGTGTATCAGATACATCGCCCTCTGATTTTATTCTTCCCTGTCCTCTCCATTCTTCCCGTTCTTTGTCGCGTTCTCTTCCTCTTACCTCCCCCCATCCTCATCGGTTCTGTGCTTTTTTTTTTTGCCCTCTCTGTCCCTTGCATCACCAGCATTCACTCCAACGCAGCGTACGGCTTTGAGCTGGCGGCGTCCATAGCGCTGCACACGCGGCCACATGTGTTCAGCTCGTCGCTGTCGGCGGAGCAGCAGGTGGCAGTGAGGGCGGTGGTGCACGTGGAGTTCCACGAGGCGGGGCTGGCGCTGGCCAAGGACGCCAAGCCCACGGACGTCTCACTGCCCGACCTGCTGGCGGCGGCCAAGCACACCTACGTGGACGTGCTCTACCTCGCAGCGGACTGCCCCGAATGTGAGGTTGCCTTCATCCGCCAACTCAACGCCTCCTACGGCTCCAACCCCGCCTCCGGCCTCTCCCGCTCAGGAGGCCTGCTGCCCTTCGGCCAGATCATGATGCTGCTGGCAAAGTAAGTGCCGCACGCCTCATCTGTTGAGCTGTTCCCGCCTCTGCTGCTTAACCATATTTGTGACTTCTGTTTTGAAGATACGCTTCCTATTTTTTTGTTCTGGAGATTTCTTCGCCCACCCATGTGTTTGTTTTTTTCCACCTGTCTTGCATCACATCATCCAGTGTCCAACAAGTGCGGCAGATGCTAGAGGTGGAGTACACGTTGGAGAATCTGGGGTACCGGTTGTTCCACGTGGAGACCAAGCCCAACGGCCACCTGGAGGTGGCCTACATCCACGCCTCCCTTGTGCAGCCGCCCCAACCCGCTGACTGCCCCGTCGACTCTGCCGGCCTCAAGTACCCCGACCACCAGCAGATTGACGATGCTGCTGTGTGCCAAGCAGAATCTTCTTTCCAGGTATGCGCCACAAGGGAGTAACCTAGGTTTCCATACTACAGTGCATGGATCTGGGATCATAAGCTGCTACGTACGGAGGCCCATGCATGGAGCATAAATGCACTGGAGCATTTATGCTTTATGCTTCGTTCTACCTAGAGTCCTAATGCAGCTGTGGGGATCAGCATCAATGCCTCAGCTGTGTTACCTCACTCAACTTAAGTGGCACCACTTAATACTCTGGGGTGCCATGTGTTGCTGTGGGTCGAAGGAAGTGTATGAGGCGTAATTCCAGATCCCGAATTGGTCCAACCCCTTGGGTGCCTTGTTCATCCTGTCGACGGTGTCACCAAACGGTTGTAACCTGTGATCTCATGCTACTTGCTTTTTCCCTCTGTTGTGTGGACGCCCACAATCAGGTGAACATGGTGCTGCGGCGGGCGGCACTGGGGGCGGAGCAGCCGCTGACGCTGTCGCTGGCGGAGATGAAGGAGCTCATCTACGTGCCACTCTACCCCTGCCCCTACGAGGAACGCATCGGCGAGTGGGGTGACGGCGGCAAGGTGCGCCCTCTCCTCAGCCTCTCTGCTAATCAACCAACTCATTTGATTTCCTTTCTATTGGAGCCCTGCCTCTTTTTACCAAATTCCTAGCCTGTTCAACCTGGTTATGCCCCTTTCCTTGACCTGACATTTGTCATTGTGGCTTCGTTGTCCTGTGAGTGCAGTGGGTGTGCATGCTCGCGTCTGCACTGCAAAAGCAGCCAATCGTCTACAGGTACCTCCTCCCTTTTCCAATGCCTTCATGTGCACAATCTCAATCCCCCAAATTTCGTATGTCCCTAAACCCTGAGCCCTAAACCCGTTTTAAACCCTCAGTGCATGCCCCCATCATCCCTCCCCTGCACCAGTGTGGGGAGCAACGAGCAGTTTGCGTTTGAGCAGGGCATGGCGGAGTCGGTGCGCACCAAGGCGTTCACGTTTGACCCGTTCATCACGGCGACGCAGCAGGCGCACATGCGCTCGCTGCCCTTCCTGCACTTCCACGCCATCGGCGTGGCGGGCGAGGAGTCGCTGGCGTACTACCACAAGCAGAACCCCGACTACGACTTCAAGACGCTCGCACAGCTCATGCTCTTCCTCAACCACAGCTATGTCGACGTGCTCAAGATCGACTGCGAGGGCTGCGAGGTCGCCTTTGTGCACGACATCGCCCGCGCCTACGGCTCCGAACCCGCCACCCTCGCCAGCAAGGGCGGCGTGCTGCCCTTCGGCCAAGTGCTCATGGAACTGCACCAGTACGTTCACCTTTCTCTGTTCTCCGCCCGAATCGTTTTCTTCTAGTTTTTTTCTTCTTCTTGTGCTCATTCTTTCCCCTGAATTCCCTCTCTTGCAGTGTATGCCCCATTGCCTTTCCCACCCTCTGATTTACTCCTCATCACTACGGTTGCAACCATATGTGTGGTTAGGGCGTATCCATATTTGGGTCATGAGCACTGTTCCGGGCATGCGCAATTTGCGGATGACCCAAACAACATAAAACGCCACTTTGGGTCCTCGGAACTCATGCGACACCCGAATTGCCGTGAGGGTTTTCGCGCCAAAATCATGCTCCCCACAACAGTCGCATCTAATGGAGGGATGCCAGAACGGTTGTCGAAAGATCATTAACGAGACCCACGCAAAACCACGCGACACCCACCGAAAAAACGCAATTGTCAAAATTTCCGGAAATGTTGGGAGCGCGACGTGGGAAATTTTAGACACACTCATGGTCACTGGGGTCAATTTGCCGAGTGGTTGGGTGCAGAGGTGTAAGTCGTGGGACATTGCCCACTTGTGACACTCGACTGACGACCGCAAAAAAGATGGCAGTACAACCAGAATCGTGCAGTGATTGGTTGGGGGTGGGTCGTGCACGTCAGTCGCCCAACACCTGCACATTGACCCAAAGCTGGGGCCGCGCGCGGCTCGGCAGCCCACTTCGGGTCATGCGCAAATTCCGCATGACCCAAACAGTAGCCAGAACAGTGCTCATGACCCGAACATGGATACGCCCTTATTAGCCGTCTCCTCTCTGGCTCTCATTTCCCGCATTACCCCCTTCCCCCCCTCCGTCCCTGACTGGCATGGCAGGATCACGAACACCAAGGCGATGCTGGCGCTGCTGTACACGTTTGAGAGTCTGGGGTACCGGCTGTTCCACGTGGAGACGAACCCGCTGTGCCTCATCTGCATCGAGGTGGCCTACATCCACGACTCCCTCCTCCAGCCCGCCAACCCCCAGGCCTGCCCCAAAGCCCCCCTCAACGACCCCGCCACCCTCACCAAAATCTCAGCCACTGGTGGTGGAGGTGGTTCTGCTGCTGTTGCTGATGTCTCAGCCAATGTCGACTTGCCGGCTGCTGGTGAAGGTGCTGCAATGGGTGCTTCGGAGTCCACAACAGAAAGTGAAACAATCTGAGGCTGTGCCAAACTGTGATGGACAGGGCTTAGAACTATTTATATTTGTGCATGAATTTCCAAGGCAAAGGATGTAATGTTTAGTAGTCAGCCACTGTTACAATGTTGTAGGGCAAAGGCCAAGTAGGTTCTTTCTGTGGTTGTGGTAATAAGTCCTGAAACACCACTCTCATGGTGTAGCTTTCGCCGGGTGGTAACAATCTTTTTGTTTGCGATGTGTTTTTGTTCCCTCACCTCGCCTTACCTCATTCACCTCGGCGCTGCACAACGCATCTCCTCTATTCGTTATTGTCACAAATGCACCGCCCTCACTTGCTTGTTTGTTTGCTCATCTGAAGTTCCAACCCAACGTCACTCGCGCAATGAAATCTAGGATCATTCACTTCTAGCGATCAGCCAGCAGCCCAGACAAATCGGCATTAGCTGCGAAAATTGTCGTGTCGTGGCCCGTTGTTCGGTTTGATGATAGTCCGCTTTCATCATACGCACGTTTAGCGCCTCTCTCCCACTTGCGCGTTTCTAGTGGACTCCCCGTGTCGATTCATCATCCTTCCGGAGGGACCTCTCCGGCAACCTACGCTTTCGCCCCTCTGCGCCCAGCGCCACCGTGTCGTGTCAACATCCCGCGCTTAAATTTCAAACCGGCTGAGCCCCACAGCAATCCGTGGCCTCCACGAGCGCCACGTGTCAGCACGATATCTCGCTCCTCGGAATCGCGGCAGCATGGTGAAAGTGACCATGATAGCGCGAGCCACGGACGGCCTGCCTCTGGCGGAGGGGCTGGACGACGGGCGGGAACAGCGGGAGGTGGAGGTGTACAAGCAGCAGGCCAAGTCGCTCTTCAAGCGCCTGTCGCAGGGCCTACCGCAGGCGTCGCGCATGTCCATCGAGACTGGCCCTTACTTCTTCCAGTACGCCGCTGTTCCCCGCCTCTCGCGATCACTTTCCTCCGCCCGCGCTTTGCGCTCTCGCGTGGTGGTGCTCGGGGGAATTTGTGCTACCTGCGCGATAGACCCTCCCGAATCTTCCTCCTTGCTCATCCGTCCCTGTTCCCTTCCCCGCTTCTTCACAACCCCCCTCCTCATCCCCTTCCCCCGCTGCCCCCCGTTTCCCCAACGTACCCCTTCTGTGCCACCGCGTCCCTCCTCTCTCCTCTGACAGCTACATAGTGGAGGGCGGCGTGTGCTATCTGACGCTGTGCGAGCGGTCGTATCCGAAGAAGCTGGCGTTCCAGTACCTGGAGGAGCTGCAGCGCGAGTTCGAAAAGGTCAACCGCTCGCAGATCGAGACCGTCGCGCGCCCCTACTACTTCATCAAGTTCGGTGCGTGTGTGGGAAGGGGGGGGGGGGGGGGGGGGGCGGGCGGGGGGGACGCGGGGCTGGGCGCGCGGAATGGGGGGCGCGTGGCGGAGGGGGCGTGGGGAGGGGGCGCCCAGTAGGGCATGAGAGGGGAGAGGGGCGTGGGGAGTGTGGCAATGCGTGTGCGACAGGGGTCTTCAGGGCTCATTGCATCAACACAACTGTCCTTTCGCTTCTGTAAAGCGCTCAGAAAGTGGATGTCATGTATGGGTGCACTTGCACTTCCTTCTCATTGCCTTCCCTCTCCTTCCTCTCCACAATTTCTCCCCCCTTCCCTTCCCCTCCTCCTCACTCCCCGCCCCCTTCTCTCCCACCTCCTTTCCCCCATCTCTTAAGCCATCCTGTCTTCTGTTGCCTATCCCCCACCCTCCCGAGCAGACACGTTTATTCAGAAGACGCGCAAGCAGTACCTGGACACGCACACGCAGCGCAACATCGACCGGCTGAACGATGATCTCATAGAGGTGCAGCAGATCATGACTCGCAACATCCAAGACGTGCTCGGCACCGGGGAGAAACTCGACCGTATGTCACCCTGCTGCTTTGCCCACACGCCCCCTTTGCCCTCACGCCCCCTTTGCCCTCACACCCCCTTTTGCCCTCACACCCCCTTTTGCCCTCATACCCCCTTTGCCCACACACACTTTCGTCCACCCACACCGCTTCTGCCCATACACCCCACTTTTGCTCACTCACCCTCTTTCTCCTGGACATATTTGTTGTACCTCCTCATGGTAATCTCATCTCCACCAACACGCATGCACCCCCATGCTCTCCACACCCACCGCGCCTCCCCCACCCCCCCACGCCCCTTCCCCCCTCCAACCCCCTCTCCTCTCCCCCCCAACCTCCCCAGATCTGACGCAAGTGTCCAGCCGGCTATCTACAGAGTCCAGCGCATACGCCAAGAAGGCCAAGCAACTCAGCCAACAGGTGCGCAGGGGGCTTCCATATTCCAGTGTCCTGCCCTCTTTTCACGCCCGCGTTGCTCTTTCACTCCTTTCACTCCCCGCTTCTGTGTCACTGCGACTCACATTTTCCGACATTTGTGCACAAGCGCACATACACGAACATGGACACACAAGCACTCAGTTTCTTGGCTGCTCGTTCTCTCAGCTCTGCCATACACCCCTGCCCTGCGCATGCATGTGTGATTGTTACGACTGTCCCTGCAGGCTCTTTTGAGAAAATGGGCGCCCATTGCCATCTTAGTGCTCGTGGTCGTCATGGTCTTCTATGCCCGCCGCCTCTTCTACTCGTGATCCCGCCCGTACCGTATTTGTGATTCGTGCGTCATGAACCTTGAGCTGCCAACACACACCAGCAGCACAGCCGCGGTCGCAGCTGGGGCCTGCTTGTTCCACGTCACTGGGTACCTTGTGCAACGTAGTTCTGTTCTGTATAACCTATTCAACATGTGCTGCAAGGAAATTTTCAATGATCTGTTGAAAGAACTACAGTACATGATAATGAGTTGCGCACTAGATGTTTGGTGAGTTCCGTTCTGTACTACATAGTCAGGCCTCCTAGCAGTCATATTCTTGGTATACAGGTAAGTGCACACAAACAGTACAGCCACTAATCACAAGCTCATTGCAGTGCTTGTGCTTGAAGCACGAAACGAAATGGCAGCAGATGACACTAACGTGCCACCTGCTAGCTACCATAACAGCAGGCAATAGGGCTGCTGTTTCAGTATGCCTCCAACACAACCTGCTAGCACACAGCGCAGCTCAGCTCAGCACAGACAGCTCAGCACGCAGTCCTGGAGTCATTCGAGACATGCGTACAGGAAGCTTCATCCGGCGGCTAGCGGTGCAGCAAGCAGTCGGGGTGCATCAAGTCCCCGCAGTCCCGGGCAGTGCACTTCCACGCCATGCCACGGCCCAGTGCGAGGCACTGCGCACACGTGTACGTGCCCTTCTGCCGCAGCCGCAACACGTGCGTTGGCTTGCGTGGGTCCCGCACACCCACCTGCACAGGTTGGTTGGTGCATGCAAGACGCAAGACAATAGACGCCATAGTAGTTGGTTCAAGGAAATTTGAGAGAGAGAGAGAGAGAGAGAGAGAGAGAGAGAGAGAGAGAGAGAGAGAGAGAGAGAGAGAGAGAGAGAGAGAGAGAGCGAGAGAGAGAGAGAGAGAGGGAGAGAGAGAGAGAGGGGGAGAGAGAGAGAGAGAGAGAGAGAGAGAGAGAGAGAGAGAAAGAAAGAAAGAAAGAAGAAAGAAAGAAAGAAAGACCGCACACGAGGTGATTGATCTGCACACATGTTGATGCCCACACAAGGGGTCAACGTGGAAAATAGATGAGAACCTGGAAATGTTCTATGCGGAAAAAAAGGGCAGAAATGTGATCGTTTGGGCGTGTTCCTACGCCTCATATCAGGCAAATCTCAAATCAGGCTCGCACTGAAATTCCCCTATACCCCAAACCCTTTGCACATTTTATCAGGCAAGTCTGATATGAGGCTTGCTTGATATGAGGCGTGGGAACACGCCCTTAGTAGATGTGGTATGAATGCATACACTGGCAGGCAGGGAGGGGATGTGCAAAAGTTGGGGTGCATGGATGGCTGCATGGAGTATGTATGTCTGCATGGAGTATGTATGGCTGCATGGAGTATGTATGGCTGCATGGAGTATGTATGGCTGCATGGGGTATGTATGGCTGCATGGGGTATGTATGGCTGCATGGGGTATGTATGGCTGCATGGGGTATGGATGGTTGCATGGAGTAACTATGATTACCTTGTTCAAGGCTTCCAGCAGTGAGCATCGATCGCGCTCCCATGTCAAGTGGTGTGACCGAACCTCCTCCTGATCCCGCCCACCAAAGCAACAGATTGTTGGGAACGGGAAGGGGAGAGGAGGGCTTGGAGGGTAAAGAGACAAGCAGAGTGAGAGTGGCTGTCCAGGGAGGAGAAAGAGAGAAGAGCACTGTACCAACAGGGTTGGTCAGTCGGGGAGATGGGAGGGAAGCACTGCTGTGGTGTGAATTGGTGTGAATTGGTGTCCATTGGTGTGCATTGGTGTGAATTGGTGTGCACTGGTGTGCATTGGTGTGCATTAGCTTACCCATGAGCCCACATACCCCCTTGGAGCAGCAACAACTCACCAGCTGCTGCTGTAGCGCCTCTTTGGCTGCCTTGTTTGAGGCCAGCTCTGCTGATAGCTGCATTCGCGCGGAAGGGGGGTTTGGTTTGAAGGGGACGGGGGGGGGGGGGGGGGGGGGGGGGGGGGGGGTAGGAAGGAGGGATTGGGGTTGTGTGGGGTTGTGTGGGGTTGCGTTTAGGTCACCAAAGCAGGCAGTCACACACCCAACACCAACCCTCTCTTCAACACGCAGCACCAACACCAACAGCAGCACAAGCACGAGCACAAGCACGGGCACAAGCACAATCACAATCACAAGCACAATCACAATCACAATCAGAAGCACGAGCAGAATCACAAGCACGAGCAGAATCACAAGCACGAGCAGCACACACACAGAAGCCTCTTCTCCTCCTTCCACACCCACCTGCACCTCCCTTTCCTTCATCTGCGCCTCAGCAGCAGCCATGGCGGCCTGCAGCTGCTGCAGCTGCTGCTCCGCTTGCCCCTTCTCCGCCACCTGCTGCTCCAGCTGCGCCACCTTGCTGCGCTGCTCCTCCAGCGTCTCCAGATACAGCCGGCTTGATGAGTGCTCCGCCTGCCCCGTGGGCGGGGGGGGGGAGGAAGGGGCGTGATGAGGTGAGGGGAAAGAGGGAGGGGGGAGGAAACGGGAGAGTAACGGGGCTGCGAGCACTCGGGGAGCACAACAGAGGTGTGAGTGAAGAGCGGACATGGTGAGGAGATGTTTGGGGTGAACAGAAAGGGTGTCGTACGGTGGTAGATGAAACCAAGAACAGACATGAAAATGACTTCTTTCTGCTCATGTCCCACGCTCCCACTGTCCATGTGTCTCACAGTCCCTCACTCCGCTCTGGCATCTAATTCTCCAAAGGCCAGCATCCTCTTGGTCCCATTCCTTCCATCTCGCCCCAGCTTCCTCCCTTTTCGACCTCCCCCGCCCACCTCAGTGATCTGGCGTTGCATGTGCACCAGGCTCTGCCGCATCTTGAACGCCTGCTGCTCCATCGCCTCTACCTCCCCCTGCACCGCCTCGCGCCGCCGCTCACTCTCCTCCAACCGCCGCTCCACCTCCTCCCTCTCCTGCCGCTCGTCTGCCAGGCGCAGCTTCATGTCCTGTACCTCCTCCTCCTTCTGCCGTGGGGGAGACGAGACCGCAACGGATGGAAGAGAGGGGGAAGGCCGTTGGATTGATGAGACGATTGATGGACCAGTCCAGGGATAGCTGTACGTGTGCAGCGTGCGCCTGCTGCTCATTCTGCAATGGAGCAGGAGAATCCTGGAGTATGGGGAAAGGGAGGACGAGGAAAGCTGGTGGAAGCGACAGGTGAGTGAGTGAGGGGCGAGTGAGTGAGAAGCGAGTGAGTGAGAAACGAGTGAGTGAGAAACGAGTGAGTGAGAAGCGGAGGTGAGGTTGAAGGCAACAAGGGTGGTGAGGTGCAAGGACAGTTCGATAAGGAGAAGGGTGGTGCGTTGCGTTGTGAGTGCATGCATGCGTGCATGTGCGTGTGAGGGGTGGCAAGCTCCGCAATACAAGCACGAGGAGCGGGCCGCAAGTGGGGGGCGAGCAGGGAGGGGACCTGCGCCATGTGGGCGTGGATGAGGTTCTTCTCCTGGTCGAACTGCATCGCCAACATGTCCTGATGCCCGCACCCGGGGGCCGCAGAGGGGCACAGGGGGTCACAAAGGGGCACAGAGGGGCACATAGGGGCACATGGGGAGACAAAGGGGCACAGGGGGAGCACAGGAGGGGCACAGGAGGGCAAGGGAGGGAGGCGGGGGAAAAGGAAAAGAACAGAGGTGGATGAGACAAGAGCAGAATGGGTGGTGCAGGCGAGATGACTTTAGAGTCGACTCAAAAGTCAACTTGGATGAGACAAGAGCAGAATGGGTGGTGCAGGCGGGATCTAGTGAGCAGGAGAGTGAGAAGGCAGAGCAACGGGTGCAGTGCGGCCTTTGAACGGGCAAACAACGCCTGCCTGCGAGCCTTCTTTGCTCAACCCATGCATCCCCCGTGCTACTACTTCGCAATCTTTACCCAAGCCTTGGTCCCTCTCACCCTCCCCTCTCACCCTCCCCTTTCACCCTCCCCGCCTACCCTCCCCTCCCACCCTCCCACCCTCACACCCTCCCACCCTCCCCCCTCCCGGACACGCCAGCTTACAAGCTGCTGCAGGAGCATGTTGTTCTCCCCACGCACATGCTCCACCTCCGCCTGCATCGCACTGTTGCCCACCGCCTCTGCCTCCTGCCATGCCATGCCATGCGTACCATGCCATGCGATACCATGTCGTACCATGCCATACCATGCCATGTCATGCACTACGTGCCATTCGCCATTCGTCATGCGCCAAGTACCACGCGCAACCACACACAGCACACACCAACCAGCATAAGCGGGCCGGGCATGCAGCAGGGGCGATTGGGACGGCTCAAGGAGGATTCTGGAGTTGGAGCCAGCATGCACGCACGCATGGGAGCTGGGCACACTCCAAGTGCACTGTATGACAATGCAGGGGCTTTCGCTGGCAGATGCGGGATTGGGTGCTGAGGGATTTGTCGGCACACAGCGTCACGAGCACAGCACAGCACAGCACGGTGGTAATCGGCATGTGTGCGGGCATGTGTGCGGGCATGTGTGCGGGCATGTGTGCGGGCATGTGTGCAGGCATGTGTGCGGGCATGTGTGCGGGCATGTAGGATGATGGGGGGAGAGGAGGTGCAGCTTGTGGCTATGCTGTGCGCACCTGGAGTCGGCCCAGCAGCTCCTCCTTCTCCTCCTCCGCCTGTGCACAAAAGAGCAACGCATGTGCTCCATGGGCACAAGGCACAAAAAGCACGCCAGGCCCATGGGAGACACGCACAGTTCACTTGATCAGTCAATTGCTGGCACGTGATCAACAAGGGAGGGGGTGCACCATGCCACCATCCATCCATCCATTTACCTCCCTTTCCCCATCCGCCCTCCCTGCCTCGTCAGCACAAACAGCATCCCATATCTGGGTAAGTCCTATCCCGTCCCATCCCATCCCATCCCATTCTGCCTGTCTGCCCCTGCCGGCCGGCCTGCGTGCATGTCACCCACTTTATCAAGGAGCGCTTTGGCGTGAGAGAGCTCGTCCTGCAGGCTCGCCACCTCCAGCTTCAGCGCTGGCACGTCCGACGCCCGCAGCTCATCCTGGTGCCATGCCGTGCCATGCCATGCCATGCCATGCCATGCCATGCCGTGCCAAAGCATGCGCATACACATGCCATGCACATGTTGCGCCACATGAGAGGAAGGACGGAAAGGAGTCAGCGAGCCATTGAGGGATGCACGTATGGAGGGTTATGGGCCAGGGGTGTAAAGAAAGGCATGGCAGCATGGAGCAAGAGAGATATCGTGATGAGGGATTGAAAGGATCACAGATGATAACAGGCAGAGAGGATGGGGATGGGGATGGGGATGGGCATGGGCATGGGCATGGGCATGGGCATGGGCATGGGCATGGGCATGGGCATGGGGATGGGGATGGGCATGGGGATGGGCATGGGGATGGGCATGGGGATGGGCATGGGGATGGGCATGGGGATGGGCATGGGGATGGGCATGGGGATGGGCAGGAGTGGAGTGGAACGGGGACCTGGAGCTTCTTGGTCTTGATTCGCAGCTCGATCTGCTGCATGCAGAATGAGTTCGCCTGCACATTATGGGGGTGTGTTGGATCGCAAGGAGGAGGGATTGGGATGTGCAACGGCATGGCTGACAGACAGAAGCCGAGAGAAGCAGAGAGAAGCAGAGAGAAGCAGAGAGAAGCAGAGGGAAGCAGAGGGAAGCAGAGGGAAGCAGAGGGAAGCAGAGGGAAGCAGAGAGGAGCAGAGAGAAGCTTGACGGATAGGCAAACGAGTGAACTCTGAGAGCAAGAGAGGCAAGGCAAGAAGGAGAGAGGAAGAGGGATGGTGAGGGCGTGGGAAGGCACCTTCTTCTTCTCTTGCTCCAGACTGGCCAATGCCTCCATCAGCTGTACCCTCGCATCACTCTCGGGAAGATTAAGCATCTGCCCACCCAGTGAGCAGCGGGCAGGTGGGGAGAAGCACATGAGAAGGGAGAGACGAAGGAGTCAATGCACGTGCATATGTGGCCCCCATGCGTGCGTACATGTCACACACGCGCTCCTGACGTTGCACCAGGGAGCTGCACTTATGAGGCGCAAAAAGAGCCCTCCGGGCATCTTCTAAAGGCAACCAAGGGAGAGTTACAACTCTCTGGCACTATGTGTAGGGATAAGCATTTGCATGCTCACCGTTCCACTGCCCACCACACACCATGCTCCTGCGTGCTACCATCCTCTCCTCTGCATACCCCATCCGCCCCCTTACACAGCATTCTAACTAACACCCTCTCCCCTTCACCCCTTCTCTCCCCTCCCTCAACCCCCTCCCTCAACCCCTCCCTCAACCCCTCCCTCAACCCCCCCTCACCCCCCTCCCTCAACCCCTCACCTCCGCCCTCGCCCCACACGGCCACGGCGGGCGCTCACCGCGAGCATGGCGCTATCCTGGGCGCCGTTCTCCTGCGCAGCGTCCTTGGCCTCCTTGAGCTTGCTCTGCGCCTGCCGTAGCTGCTCCTCCAGGTCGCGGCACTGCTCCTCCAGCTGACCGCACTGCGCCACTGCCTCCTCGCCCGCCTGCCTCTCCTCCTCCACTGCCTTCTGCGCTGCTGCCTGCCGCCCGTGGGGGACATGGGAGAGAGGGGGAGACCGGGGGAGGGGTGGAGTGGGAGTGAGTGTAACAAGGGTGTGGAGCGGCAGGTAATGTGCAAGCAGGGTGTGTGGGGGTGGGTGGGGGAAGGGGGGCACGGGGGCAAGGAGGGGGGAAGGTGCATGGCGTTCATGGCATGGCACAAGGGCCCTGTTCGATAGGCAGCCTAATCCTTGGAGGGCTAGGGTTATGCTAGTGTTTAGGGGAGTTTTCGGAGCAACTTCCCCTGGGCTAACCCCCGCCGGACCAAATCGGAAGCAGCGCCTCCCGAGATCGGAAGGAGGGGGTCGTCAGGGGTATGCTGGACCCCTCCTTCCATCATCTTCATCGAGGGCATGATTCAAAAGTTTGCATCGCATGCCATAGGAACCAGAGTAAAAATCATGTGAAAAAAAAAAAGAACCAACACAGCTGGCGGCTGGTTTAGTGGTGGGAGGACGGGGACTTTTTCAGGGCAGAGATGGAATGGTTAGAGCATGGGTACGGGTGGGAAACATTTCGGGGAGTAAGATTTCGTATCCCCTCCCACTGCGAGCCCTAGCCTATCTTTTGGGCAACCTCCAGTCTGGGGAGGCGAGGGTTGGGCTGGAGCTGCGCTCATCGCTTGCCTATGTGCAAAGGGCATTGGATCTTTCCGGGGGGACTAACCCTTCTTGTAGAAGGTGCGTTTGACAGGCAAAGAAGGATTAGTCTGATTCAGGAGGGTTTGCCAGGTTCGGCACCCATTTTTGGCTGACCAGGAAAAAAAAAACACACACACACACACACACACACACACACACACACACACACACACACACACACACAAATTCGAAACAGCCCCGATTGTTCCGCGGAAGGGTTAGGCTGCCTGTGGAACAGGGCCAAGGTCTCGGCTCAGGCGTGGGATGGAGGAGCGCCTCCTTGCATGGCTCGCCACGGCCTTGCCCTGCTCGCCGCGGCCTTGCCCTGCTCGCCACGGCCTTGCCCTGCTCGCCACAGCGTTGCCTCTCACCAGGTCGGCTTGTGCCTTCTGCAGCGCCTCGTCCGTCGCTGCTGACCCGGCCGCCGGCGCTGTCGTTCGCTCCTGCACATGCCACGGGGCACGAGCAAACAGGTGGCAACGCAACGCATGAGGGAAAGCATCCAGGAGTGACATTCATCCGTGGCACAGAGGAGCACAAGTTAAGTTGTGCAACGGGCACAGGACTCCAACGTAGCACATGGACGGCCTCCATCCACTCCACTCGCATCGCATGACACACGACCTGCATCTCCTTGGCAGCCCGTGAGCACGACCGCTACCAACACACCGCACCTCCACCTGCAGGTGAGTGAGCAAGCGACACAACAACAGCCGCTCGTGGTGCTTGCTCGCTCCCCCTCCTCCCCCACATCCCCCAGCGCCCACCTGCAGGTCCTTGAGCTGCTGCTGCAGCGCGCGCTTCTCCTCGTCGAGGCGGTCCCTCTGCCTCTCCACAGCCTTCTTCTCCTCCTCCAGCCGCTCCACCTTCTGCTTGCTGCTCGCTGACTGCCATGCACACGCCCACGGGAGTGAGGTCGGGCGCAAGCGGACAGCAAGGGGAGGGGCAACGGGATGGGGAACGGCAAGGGGAAGGGCAAGGGTAAGGGATAAGGGAGGGTGACAGATGGGACAAAGGATGGAGTAAGGGATGAGGCAAGAAACACTCCTATGTATGCACGCACATGCACAGCACACCCACATGTGCAGGCCCAGGCAGCACCTCTCCCTCTCCATTCCCTCCCCTCTCTCATCCTCCCCCTTCACTTCCCCTTTCCCCTCCTCCTTTCCCCTCCCCCTTTCCCCTCCCCTTTTCCCCTCCCTCTTTCCCCACCCCTTTTCCCCTCCCCCTTCCACCCCCCCCTTTCCCCTCCCCATTTCCCCTCCCCATTTCCCCTCCCTCTTTCCCCTCCCCCTGTCACCCGCCCCTTTCCCCCCCCACACCTCAGCGACGAGCTGCAGTTTGGCCATGGAGGAGGTCTGGGCGGCGGACTGCAGGCGGCTGATCTGCGACACCCACTCCAGCTCGCGCGCCTTGCGCTCGCGCGCCGCCATCACGGCGGCCTTCTTGCTCTCCTCCATGGCGCGCCTGCCCTCCTCCACCTCGGCGCGCAGCCGCACCGCCTCCATGTGGCGCTCCTCCACCTCCTTCTCCAGCCGCGCCTGGGGAAACCACCAGTGCATGTGGGCGGGCGCAGGGGAAAGGGACGGGTCGAGATGGTCAAAGGGATGGGCCGGGGGAAGGGGGGTGCGGGGGGTGGGGTGGATTCGGGAACGGAAGGGACTGACAGAAGGACGAGTACATATGCCCATGTCCCTGTTGTGTTACCATCCCGTTACTCCCCCTTTCCCACCATCCATAGCTTTTCCACCAACATCTTCCCCACCATCACCTCCCCCAACGGCCATACTTCACACCACAGCACCAATCCCCACCTTGGAACAACCCTCTCTTCGTCCTTTCCCTCTCCTCCTCCCTCTCCCCATCTCCCTCCCCCCACACAGGCCCCACGCGCACCGTTTCCGATTTGAGCTTGCCCGCAGCTTCCTCGGCCTCCAGTCTCTGGCGGTTGAGCTCCGCCCACCCCGTCTGCAGCTCGCTGTTGTCCTCCTCCGCCGCCGCCTGGTGCGCAGGGGGGGGGTGGGGGGGAGGGTGGAGGTGGGGGGGGAGGGGGGGGAGGAGGGTAAGAGGGTACGGAGAGGGGACGGTTGAGTGGACAGGTGGGGAGATGGGGGGAGTGGATTGGCAGTGAATGAGTGTGCATGGGTTGGAGAGGAGGAGGAGGAGGAGGAGGAGGAGGAGGAGGAGGAGGAGGAGGAGGGGGAGGAGGGGAAGGAGGAAGGAGGGGGGGGAAGAGAGAGAAAAAAGGGGAGGGGAACGCGGGATAACATGGCTACAGCGCCAAAAGGCGGAAAGCGCCTGGTCCACGTACGGGCTCCCACAATTCTTCGTCCCCGCTATCCTTCCCTCCCCCCCACAACCTTTCAGGCTCTTGAGTGGTCACTCTCTTTTGCGAGGAGCGCAGCAGCGCAAGTCCTCGCACGGCACACGCGACCTACCAGGCTCTTCTGCAACTCTTCCGCCTTCTGCGCCTTCGCCTTCGCCTCTTCGCGCGCCTGAGAGGAAGAGAGGTGTGAGAGTGAACGGGGAGGAGTCGGGGGGTGGATTGAGCCAGTACCGACGCCCGACAATAGAAATATTATTTAAAGAGACAGTAGGGCATATGTGTGAACGGTTTCTTCTTCTAATACCGTCCCCGGATATCTGGCGCCGGAGGCCCTGCTGCTTGTTTCTGTACTTAGCTGCTACGGCCAACCCACATTGTGCACGGCCATTTCGAGCTCCTCCAGCTTCTTGCATAATTGCGCCACGTCGGCGTCCGCCATCGGTTGCCGTGCAGTCCGCGCGAGCGAAATGCAGCTGATCTTGCAGCCTCTTAATAAATTAAGAAAATGCACACTTCTACGTGCGCGCTCCTATTGCCTAGGTCTCGTCCCTATGCTTGCATGTCGCGCCTCTATGCTGCAAGCGCCGCTAGTCTGTACATAATGGAGCCGCGCCTACGGTGGCATAGAGACTCATGATATGCGGAAAGCTGACGAGGAGAAAAAGTGATGATGGCGGTTCATCGGTAGAGTGCCACAGGACCCTTGGCTTGATTGGGTATGCATGTGTCCATGGTGTGGACGGCATGGAGGGTGCGTGTGCAGGGTCAGAGGAACCCTCAGTGCCTTCTTGACCTACTGCAAGGGACGCATCAACTCTCAGAAAGTCAAACCTTACTGTTATCAAGTATACATTATGCACATCAGTTATGGGAACACTAACGCGAGCTATACGAGTGTGTGGCTCATTCGTTAACGGGGTTCGATGACCATGGTTACTTTCGTCACATGACTGTCTGTGTTCGTCTAGCAATCTCGCGATGAATAGACATGGATTTGACTTCTTCGCAGGACGTTACAATGTTAGTTCCGCGAACGTTGACCTAACCAACTGCTCAGCCACAAACCCGCCAGTGGCACATTGTTTGGCGATAACTCAGAAAGTGGTAACTTAGCGGCACACGACGAAGACAGACAGCTCTCCCCACTGGATTCTCTGTTCCCTGCCTCTGACAGATTCGCCATGGTCAGTTGCCAGATTGCGCCAATTTTTTACTTTGTTGTCGCGCCGCCCTGCCCTCTCCTCCTCGTCCCCTCCCGCCTTCTTCCCCTCGCTTCCTCCCTCTGCTCGCTTCCCTGCCTGCAGTGCCTCGAGTCGCTCGCGACTCCACCTGGTATCGCAGGCCAAGACGGGTGCATCAATCATCATTTCGCTCTGCTCTGCCTGCCCAGTAAGCTATCTACGACTTCGCAGAGCACCATCGGGCTCGAACCGTTTCACCTCTCGTGGCTATCTCATACATGCCGTGGGTTGCCTTCTGAAACTCACGCCCGTCCAGTAGTTTTGTATCTTCCTACTCTTGGCCTCTTTTTAGCAAGATTCCTTGACTAACATCCGCACTCTTTCGTTACCAGGACACGCAAACCCAACATCATCGAATACATGGCTCACAGGGCGATGTCGCCTTTTCAGCACAGCTGCGTCTTGCTTCTGCTCTCCGCCGCCGCATTAGCTTCACGGGCCGCGTCCGCCGACGTGGTCCCTGCGGAGGGGAGGCGATACGTCCCAGTGGGAACGACGGATTCGACGTTTAACTATGGGTGGAACCCCAAGGTCAACTTCACGGCGTGGGCCGAGGACCCTGCGAATCGCGTCTACGAAGGCGACGTGCTCGGTAAGTCAGTTGATCGTGGTGCGCTCGCCACTCCGTATTCGAGACTCGCAGCCCTCACACGAGTAGCTATAGCCGTCAGACATGCCCGTTCCATCCCGTCCCATCCCTCGCCCACTTCGTCCCCGTGTCTACAGTGTTTTACTACCCCAGGGGCGCCGACGAGGTGTATCGTTTCTCGCGCCTCGATGACATGCGCCGCTGCGTCTACACAAAGGGGACGCGCGTGTGCCGTGACGTGGACGGCGTTTCCGGCTGTAAGGTGCCTGTATCGGAAGGCACGGCGCTGTTCACGTCGGGCATGGTGGCGCGATGCAACTCCAGCATGCAGGTGAGCATGCAGGTGAGCATGAGGAGGCTTAGAAGGCGCGTCTCGGGATTCTTTTAGCAAATAAGCTTTAGAGGGCTTGGAGGATAAGGGTCACAGCGCCCATCGTTATTTCACCGCGCCGCTCACCCGCAAACGAGTCGTGTCTGCAAGCCATAAGCTCCCCACCCCCCCCCCTCCGCGACGCGCGGCGTGTGTCGCGCACTGTGGCAGCTAGCGGTGGAGGTGGCGGTGGAAACCGGGCCGCGCGACATCGTGGTGGGGTACCCTACGGGCGAGTACACGTGGCCGTGGAACCCGGCCGTGAACTACACGCAGTGGATGCTCAACAACACGCTCTACACCGGCGACGTGCTCTGTACGTCCTTGTCTCTCCGCTGCCCCATGCGCCACCTTGTCTTTTTTTACCCTCTACCCAGTCTCCTCCTCCACATGCAATGCGGCAGGCTTCCCGCTGCTGTCCTCGTCTCTCTCTCGCTCTCCTCCTTCATTGTTTGACCTAATGGCTTTCTGCCATTCCCTTGCCGTCTCTTCCCGCCCTTGCTATGCCGGTTTCTCGCAACCTGAGCTCACCCGTCCCTCTCCTCTCCGTGCCACCCTTCCCATTCCTCATTCCCGCTGCTCCTCGAGCAGACTTCAAGTACGCGGCACACATGGACGAGGTGTACATAGTGCCGACTAAGGAGGACTATGACGCGTGCAAGTACGACCGGTACACGGCGTACTGCAACGGCACGGACGGGGTGGGCGAGGGGTGCTTCAGCAACCCGCTCGACAACACCACCACCTATTTCCTCTCGGGGGTTTACAGCCACTGCACAGCAAGTCAGAAGCTCGCCGCCGTCGCCCTTGACGGCCCCACGGGTGCTTAATGCCCGGCTGATTGCCGATGACATCTGTGGGAGACGTGGCAGGCAGCAAGAGGTCGACACAGAGTCGACCAGGCGTAGCAGGAGATAGGGTCTGACTAGTAATTCAGCTCTGACGTTAGTCATTTTATGTTAGGTATTCTTGACAAACAGGATTGAAAGGAAACTTTGCTTCCAATCAACACATCCTCTACCTGTCAGGAGGATAAATGAGGCCTCTCAGCTGCCTTGTCACGAGCTGCAAGAGAATGTGGGTGAATGTGACTCAGAAAATTTCATGATCTATCTATTTCCTGTAAAGACTGGTGATGTTGCATCCACAACCACAAGAGCCCAGCAAGCCCTGGTTCCGCTTTCCTTCATGACTACAGTAGTGGGGGATTGATTTGAGTATGGAAGTAAGTCCCTTAATTTTGCATATTATGGTAGCAGACCAATAACACTCCACTCGTACTGTACATATCATTTGCCATCCTTTTGTGCCGTCTCTACTATACAAAGCACTTATTTGCAGAAATAAACAATGACTTATGCGGACGCTTTCTCCTCCACACCCGCCAACAAGTTCACTGCATCCACTGGTGGTCCAATTCGGCTAGCTGCATCCATGCTCCCTGCGATCAGCGAGGCACCCGCGCGTCCCCTTTAAGTGCCTCATAGAGACCCTCCAAACTCCACCCACGGCTGGACCCTGCAATCGAAGGGTGGTGTGGTGAGTGGAGTACACGTAGCGGAACATGACAGAAGTATAGGTGACAGAGGAGGGGGAGAACACGGAACAGCAGTCCCTGAGGCCACGTGTGGTAATGATTCCTCACGACTCACCCGCACTTGAGTCTCTGGGCTGCCAGCGCTAATCTTTGCTCCGCGGAAACCAGAGCATCCGCCACTGTCGCGTCCTCGTCCACAGCAGCAGAATCCAGATTCGCTGCTGCACCGCGATCCACCAGCGGGAACGCGCGGCCATCCCTGGCGCCAAAGGCGTTGGAGAGGCGCATGGCGGTTTGGGATGCGGGATCAAAGCTCGAAAGGGACGAAGACTCCATCAACGACTGCTGCACCCTTCTGTTGCCCACAGCCCCTCTTCCTCGTGTGCTCCCCGCTATGCGCACTTGGGAAAGCGAGATGCCGGTGCATGGCACGATGCGGCTGCATGCCAGGTCGATGCCGCGAATGATGCCCCGGCCCTTGGTGGCATCGGCCGTGGCGGTGACGTTCGTGTACGTGATGTTGAAGATGGAAAGTGCCTGCACACCCGACCCGCATGGCTCTGCGTCACAGTAGTACTGAGGAAGGGGGGTGGGGGGTTGGAAAGGGGAGGGTGAAGAGGGCAAGCATGAGAGACGGAGCAGGAGGGGCGGATGAGGGGGAGATGGCATGGGATCCAAGCGTGGGTTATATCACAGCGCAAAGCGGGCAGGAACAACGAAGTGATGCAGTCAATCAGAGCAACGGACATGATGGTATTACGAGGCACATGACCTTCCTGCAAGAGGCTCATGAGAGACCAAGCCAAAGTGACATGAGGGCAGGATACGGGGGTAAGGGGCGTCCGGGCATGGCACCTGGTCGATGACAATGGGGCGGTCGACGTTGAGCATGGTGATGTTCTCATACCGCACGTTGAACACGGAGCCACTGCCGCCCTGGTACGTCTTGATGCGCACCCCGTTGGAGAGCCCTGACAGCACCGAGTTGGTTACTGTCACGTTGGACACGCATGCAGTCTTGCCACCGTAGCCCAGACTCCCGATGCTGCACGCACAAGGGCGCACATGCGCAGCCATGCATGAGTACACAGGGAGCGCACATGAGTTGAGCGGTGCACAAGGTGCAGTGCGGTACCCACCGTGTGGCGGACACCCATCTATGCAGGCCATGGGACATCCACGCCCATCATGAAATCATGCTCCCGGTAGCCCCACACGCGCTTCCCCCTCTTCCCGCTTCACCTGATGCCGTGGCCGGCGGTGCACGTCACGTTGTTGATGCTGATGCCCGACGACCCCGCCACGATTGACACGTCGTCATCGCCTGGAGATCAGATCAAGAGCACGCAGGGGGATACACACGCGAGGCGGACGGGCAGGCAGCTTCGGCAAGATCCAGAAAGATAACCTCAAGCAGGGCGGGGAAGTGATACCTAAAATCACAAACTTGTTGAACGCTACAGCGTAGTTGTAACAGGACGGTAGAGTGCCCACCCACCTCCGTGCAACCATGAGTCGCTGATGCTGACGTTGCTGCACGCTGACACGTGGATGCTGTCCGTGTTGGGGCTGGAGCCAGGGCTGCGCGTCGCGATACCTCTCACCGCAGCGCCTACGCACGATCGCAGCACCAGATGCATCATGGGCGCGTTGCTGAGAAGGACAGCAGCCAGGGCAGGGGCAAAAGGGATCCAATCACGAGATCATTGGTACCAGGCGAGTTGGAAGGTGCTATCACGAGGCGGACGGAGTCGGCCGTCAAAAGGCTGCTTCAGAGGCACCGTCTATGGGACGAAGCGTCCTCAGAGAATGGTTGCGAGCGGTCCCGACATCATCCCTCCCAGAAGTCTCTGTCAGCCTCTCCAACGCTCACCTCAGTGTGATTCCCGTCACCACCACTCGCCGCATTTCCGCCAGCAGCAGCAGGTGCGGCCGGCTATTCGCCGGTCGCCGCCACAGCAGGTCACCTCCGCCGTCAATCCTGCCGGCGCCCGCGACAGTCAACCCGTCCACCCGCGTTATCACCATCACGGCGCCACGACCAGTTCGTTTCGCAGCATTCGGCTCAAACTGCAGCAGCCCGTCGATCTGCGATCGAGGGCCCTCGGGGCATATATAAGAGACAGAAGGAGGCGGGAAATAAGGAGCCAATCAGGATGGAAAGAGGCGGAAACCATGTGGGGACGGCAGATAGCGTGAGTTAGGAGAGGACGGCCTTACAACGGGTAAAGATCCCTACGATCATTGAAAGTATGCACGTCACGGATGTTACCTGGATGAGCAACCCGTTTCCTCGGCACGGCCCGTGCCATGTGATCCACGAAGCTACCAGGAACGTCCGTCCGGCGGGCAGGAGCAGCGTCGCCCGCTCCGGCGCAAGAGCTGCATCTATGGGGATCGTCGCGCCGGCGTCACCGCTGGCGGTTCCTTGGACCGGCATCGCCGCAGCATCCGTCGTCAGCTGACGTGGAGTCAGCTGCGAGGCCACCGCACCATCATTGCGCGCGGGGCTTGCACTGCCCTGCTGCTGCGCCACTCGTCGCTCGCCTTGCTCCGCCGCAGTTGAGGCAAGCGCCGCACTCGCTGCCAATCTATCGCCAGCGCTGGGAACCGCGTTTTCCCCCGAGTTTCTCTTGTCGGGCTTGCTGGGTTCCGTGTCGCTCGCGTCCGCTTGCTTCTTGAAGGAAAGCCCGCTGGGAGAGGAAGGCGTCGGCGCGGTGGGTCGAGCCGCTCGGCCACGGGGTGCGGAAACGGGTGCGCGATACGCGCACGCAGCGGCGAACGCGGCGTTGAGAGCTGCGGTGTCGTCCTTAACGCCGTTCCCCGCGGCGCCGAATGCCCGCGGGTCGAAAACGCTGACTAAAGGTGGCGGAGAGGAGGGACTGGATGATGACGCGGACTGCGCAGAGGTGGCGGGGAGGCGGACGAAAGTGAGCGGAGCAGACGTTGATTGCGCGGAAACTTGCGGGGTCGGCTCAAATGAAGGTTGAGGGAAGGTTGCGGAGTGTAGAGAAGGAGAAACGGCGCCTGATGTTGAGATGCTTCGTGCAAGAACGGTCGTGAGAGGAGCAGCAAGAGAGGCGACGGTCAGCGGTACTTCCGACGAGGCAGAGGCAGAGGTAGTGACTGGCGCAAGCGGATTTGGAAGCGAAGGCTGTGAAGACAGCCAGGGACTGGCGAGAGGATATGGCGGGATGACCTCGGCGGCGCCGGTACGGAAAGATCGATCGGAAGTCGCACCCTCCGTGGGCTGACTCACAGTCGGAGAGACTTCCACAGGTCTGCCGATCCAACCCCTTTTCTCCGCAGATGAAGATATGTCACCGGAGGTGGGCTGGCCTGGTTGGACTGCTACCGCCAATGGCTCCGGTTCGCCATGGTTACTATCTTCTCCAGCTGTTGCTGCTACTGGTGAAGCGGGTGATTGTAGATTGCTGAACGACGCCGATTGAGGCATGCCTGTCTCTGGATCTGACAGCTCCGTCACGAAATCCTCCTTCGCGTGATCGCTTATCGCGCCGTGATACGCGTCGGCCTCGTCTGACGGCGATGCGTTTGCCGAAACAAGATCTTCCGTGTAGCGGCGCGGCACTGGGGTCGCAGACGCGTCCACTGTGGCGGCTGCGTCGCGGATCTGGATGCGATCATCCTGCGAGCTCCGCGGTGCTAGAAGAACGAGATCCTGCAGGTTTTGCGGGTCTGACGAGGGAATCGATACTTGAAGCGGAAAGGTCAACTCAGTCGGCTTCTGTTGGGAGAGAACGCCTCGCGACGCCACAGCAATGAGGGCAACCACGGTTATCAAAGCGGCGTGCGATCTCACACGTATCGGCATTTGCGGGTATGGTTGTAGGCAGCTATGAACACGACTCGACTTCAAAGCTAGTATAACTGGGGCTGAGGGGATTATGACAACGAACAGACGCAAAAGCGTCACTTCAAGCTGCTGTTTTTGTTTCCCCAGACCAGCTTCTCTCCGTCTCATGTCTCCATTTCCAAATCTGCGAAATGCTTCTTCTCATCCCTGCAGCGCACCGTGCGTGGGCGCGGAATCTCTAGATTTTGCCGCACGGCACGGCTCTGCGCGATGCGGGTGGCGGTAATCTGCCAACTTGTTTCGCTACAGACATCATCTCAGTTTCACTCAAAGATGTGTAAGACTATTTACAGGTCATTCGGTTAATCAAGGCCGTTTTGCTTATGTTTTCCTTACTGAAGCAAACTGCAAAGCAAGCAACTGGCAAAGAAATGAGTTGGTTCAGAGAAAGAAAAAAACCAGTATTGGCCATTTGCATGTGATGTACCCAATTCTAAAATCTGCATCCTCTACTTGCAATTAAATAGATGGATTATTGTCTATTACATCACCGGCCAATTCCTCCTATCTTGCGCATAACAAAGCATTACAGTTAGTTTACCAATAAACCTTCAGGTCTGATTCGCGAACACAGCTTGATAAATCAATACAACAAACAATACATAAGCCAAGTACTGAATGGGACCAAATTGCCTTTCCTCTCCTCATCCTACCTCCATCCAAGTGCAGGTACTTCTATCACACGGGCTCATGGTTCTCCTTGGAAAAAAACTCTGGTTGCATTTACTGAGCGTGGAAAAGGCATGAATGGCCCAGAGCCGGGTGATGATGGTGGTGCTGAAGGCAGCGACGGAGCTAAGTGTTCATGTCTCAAGAGCCAGGTACTGATGGCTGTTGCATGCTGGACTGTTGACGTGGCTGGCTGGATGCTCAGAGGTAGCAAAGCATCGGTCATTGGGGTGGAAGGAAGTGCGGGTGCAGCATCAGGAATCTGCGATGCCATGTTGATCCAGTCCTCTGATCCTATTGACGACGCCCACGCAAGGCCACTCCTGCATGATAATGAAACCAGCGTAGCCAGGCAGAAAGAGTTGGAGTATTAAAAAACAGTGAAGTGAATCATACAATGCACTAACATGACGAGAAGTAAGCTTGAAGAGGCAAATGAGAAATCGGGGAATCTCACCCTCCACATTTCTTGTGTTCGGCTGCAATGCTGCTGGCTCTTGATCGGGAGAGGGCCCGCTCCCATTTGGGACCGGGAGACACATTGATGCTCGTGCCAAACGCATTCTGGTAAATGCCCTTCAACCCCTCCCCCTTGCTGTGCCGAATGTTTACATCGCGCATGGTGATCTTCCCACACGGCACTCTCTCACTGCACGCCAACTGGATGCCGCCACTGCTGGAGTAGTTGGTTGTGCCGGAGATGCTCTTATAAGAGATATCAAACACTGCCAGGTTCTCTGGGTGGCCAGCGCAGGGCTTCCTCTCACAGTAAAACTGTTCCATGTGATGGGCAGGGAAAGAGACACAATGCAGCACAGAATATCAGCACAGCAGGTCCAAAGGAGGGAGGTTGTAAGCAGAGAGAAGTGCAAGGCATGAAACAAAGAAGGGCGATGTTAGAATAGAGTTGTGTGCACATACCTGGTTGATGACAATGGGGATGGTCACGTCCCGCATCCTGATATTCTCATATCGAATGCCATGCACTGTGCCCTGGCCGCCCTGGTACGTCTTGATGCGCAGCCCGTTCTGCAGCCCCACCAGCGTTGCGTCCTGCACCGTCACACCCGACACACATGCCAGCTCGTGCTCCTTGCCCAGACTCCCAATGCTGCTCCATCACCACACCAGGATGGGAGGCGGGTGACAGGGAAGAGTTGAAGGTGGTGCCGGAAAGTGGATAAGGTGGCCATGTATTCCTGATGTCATGCATTCCTGGTGCCATGCATTCCTGGTGCCATGCATTCCTGGTGCCATGCATTCCTGGTGCCATGCATCCCTCCCTGATGCCATGAATCCCTGATGCCCGGCATACATGTGTTCTTGATACTATCGGGCGTGGCCAAGTGCATACCTGATGCCATGGTCAGCAGTGCAGAGCACATCGCGGATGATGATGTTGGAGGAGGAGCCAACAATCGACACGTTGTCGTCACCTGCTCAGGCACAAGGGGAGGCCACCCACACAGCCACATGGAAACCCGAGGCTTTGAGTGTGTTGAACGCAGTGTGTGAGAACGGAAGCCAATGCAGTATGGTAGCAGTGCCAGGCTGCACACAGCAGGGACAGGGGCGAATCTTCGCTTGCCCCCCTCGGGGGCTTAAAGTATTTTTGGGTTTTTTTGTGGTGGGGGAGGGGGGGGGGGGGTGTGAGGAGAAGAGGTGGGGAGAGGGGGGGGGGTTGGGGGCCCCTCAGCTCGTGCCCTGCAAGCACCACCCTGCCCTCCACAGCCCAGCAATTCCTGTCCCCTTACCCCACAGGCTGTCCCCTTTAACCCACTCCCTTGCGCTGCTCACCGCCGTGCAGCGTGCAGTTCTCGACGACGACGTTTTTGACGACGCCGAGGTGCACGGAGTCGGTGTTGGGGCTGTTGTAGGGGCTGTCCGTGGTGAAGTCGTGGATCCACACGTTGCTGCTGTACACCACTCTCAGATGCATCATCGGCGGGTTCCTGTCAGAGTGGGGGGACCAGGCAGACCCAGCAATGGCAGACGACGCGGGTGTGATTGATGCGATGGTGCTCAGTGGTGGGAGGGTGGGAGGGAGGGTCACGCTTGAGCAGAAGAGGGAGGAACTGTTGCGGTATGGACGGTAAGCGGTTTCAGCGGCAACAATGTCATGGCAGCAGCAGCATTGGGGCAGGAGAACGAGTGCAAAAACATTGCAACAAAATTGAGAAACACACAAACGAGTACACCTGCTCCTTGCCAATCGGTTCGTTCACTGCTACGGGGACAGACAATGTGGAAGGGGTAGGAAAGGTATGCACTGCGAATACAGTGCACGAGCAGCGGAGACCTTGTAATTTGAGTGTTCTGACAGTTGACAATGGGCATGGGTGGGGCAAGGCGCGTTTTGCGCATGGTTCCAGAGGTCCCACATTTCGTGGAAAAGCAGCAACTCACTTGAGCGTGATCCCTGAGACCTCCACCCCCTCGCACAGCTTCGCCTCCAGCAAGTACGGCCTGTGCGAACCACGCCCCCACACCACCTGCCCCCCGCCGTCGATCACGCCCGACCCCGCGATCACGAGCCGTCTGATCTTCTGAAAGCTGATGATGGGGTTTTGCGCCAGCACGCCGCGCGGATACGCGGATATGCGCCCCTCCACGCGGACCAGCAGCCCCGCGCCCCCGCACGGCCCCTTCCACACGAAGTTCTTCGACCGCACGAAGAACGTGTATCCGCGCGGGAACAGCAGCGTCGCGCGCGCCGGGCTGCTGCCGCTGTACCTGCACGCGGCGAGGAACGCTTGGTTCATTGCGCCGCTGTCGTCTGTGGTGCCGTCACCCACACCGCCGAATTCGCGCACGTTGTAGATGCCGTCCCTGGGAGCGGGGTCCGGCGGCGGGGAGCGTCGGGGCGGTGGCGGAGAGCGCCGCACGTACGGGGGAGGGGATCGGCGCCTTGGCGGCGGAGAACGTCGGCGATGGGGAGGCGGGGAACGGCTTCGACGCGGAGGTGGGGAACGACGCCTTCGAGGCGGCGGTCTGCGGCGAGGGGGCGGGGAGGCGCGCGGGGGAAGCGGAGGAGCCACGGGTTTCGGGGGAGGGGGACTACGGCGCCGGGGGGGAGGCTTGTGCCTCTTGGGAGGCGGAGGGCGGCGGCGGAAGATTGGGGGGAAACGCCTGGGAGGTGGATGGTGCTTCTTTGGAGGGGGACTGCGCGGTAGCGTAGGCGTGGTTCTCGAGGGCGGCGGGGAGGAGCGAGGAGGGGGGCGAGGAGGGGGGGGAGGAGGGGAGCGAGGAGGGGGGCGAGGAGGGGGGGGAGAGGGAGGAGGACGGGGAGGAGGTGATGGCGGAGGTGGACGGGGCGGGGGGGATGGAACAATTAGCGGAGGAGACGGCGGTGGCGGAGCAGGTGGGGGGAATGGCGGAGGAGGACTTGGTGGCGGCAAGGCGTCTGGCGGTGGCGGGGGAGGCGGGGGTGGCGAGTCAGCGAGTGTGCCGGCGGAAGTGGTGCTGTCGAAACCAGAAAGGAGCGCTGCGGAAGGTGGTGGGGGAGCCTGTAGGGGAGCGATAGGGGGCGGTGGAGGGGGAATAGCGGCCCGAGGGGGCGGAGGGGATGGCAACGATGTTGCACCGCTAGGTTTGGCCGGGCGAACGGGACGGCGGAAGGGTAGGAGGAAGGAGAAGAGAAAGCGGCGGAGGAAGTGATCGGGGGCAGGGACGGGCGGAGGGGGCGGGGGAGGGGGAACGGGAGGGGGAGGTGGAGGCGGAGGGGGAGGGGGGAGGGGAGGGGGAGAGGGAGGAAGATGAGGGGTGGAGTGCATTGTGGGAAGGGCAGGCGTGTGGGAAGGTGCAGGGATAGGATGCGGATACAGCGACGGAGGATGTGGCGGAGGCGGCACCGGCACTAGACCTAGCGGTGGGCATGTAGCGGCAGCGGGAACGAACGGAGACGGATCTAAAGAGAACTCCCCAGCCTCGCGGCCTGCATCGGCTGCCTCGCCGGACGTGGCAACGAGGTGGTTCGGTTTGACGTTCGACGTGAATACGGACGGCTGGACGTCCGGCAGCGGCTTGAACGGGTAGAGCAGGTGCAGATCCGAGGAGTTGAGCGGGCACGCCGTTGCGTTGAACGCCCACGCCTGCTTCTGCGCGGAGCCACTAAGGGAGATCCGCGCTGACTGTGGCGGCTGCTCCCGCACTCGGTGCCTGGCGCCGCTGTGCAAAACCACGCGGCGCGAGAGGCGCGGAGTGGGGGAGAGGGGCTCCGGGTGGTTGCGGACGGTCCTCGGGCCCACGCCGATGGACGGCTGGTGCACGCGGCGCGCGGCGGTCAGGTTTGACGGGAGAGAATGGTTGAAAAGCGGAGGGCGGAGGATTAGAGAGTCCGCGAAAGGAAGTGGGGAGGAACGGCTGCGGAGCGAGCAGTTGGGGATTCGAGTGTGCACGCAATGCGGGGGGGCATAGAAGCAAGCGGGGAGGGGGGAGCAAGCGGCGAGAGGCAAGGGCCTATCGGCGTGCCATACGCAGTGGTCGATGGTGCAAGGATCGCCATCGTCACATGCCGCTGTTGGGATTGGGGAAACAAGAATGGGACGATGGCGAATATTTGAGCGCGTAGCAGAACAGCAGTCGTCTTGTACAAGTAAAGCATGTCTCAACGACTTCACATGACGTGGCGCATCACCAAGTCCTTGCAAGCACTTTAGGAGCAGTGCTCCTATCAAACAGCGGCCGTGAGGCTCTCACCTGGTCGGACGACGGCAATGTCACACGACGAAGTGAGCAGGAAGCGGCAGTCGCCCGACAGCCCCGTGCAGCCTTCCGCGGGTGCCCAGGCGTCTTCCAGATTCAGCAAAGGACTGATGGCGAGATGGCGCACAAACAAGGTGAAACGGAGCAGCCGTTGGAACACGCGAGCAGCCAACGGTACTAGAAACAGTTATCATGTTAGGTGAAGTGCGATCGGCCGTGAAACACATCTAGTAAAGACCCAATCCAGGGTTTTCTCTATGCTGGGTACTAGAAGGAGAAGTGACTACTCTGTAGTGCGCACCTGACAGGATTCACGTCGATCTTTCTGAACAGTTCGCCCACGACGTCAAACACGCATGCTTCCGTCGGCGGATCTGCGCTTATTGCGTCGCCGTCGCTGTTTCGCTCGTGAGGAGGCACGGTTTCGCCTAGAAGCTCTCGTTCTCGAGGCTCAGGCTCTGCGTAGCTCACTCGGTCCCGCAGCGAGCTGCTGCGGTGAACGGCGGAAACCACGGGGGGTCCACATGCTAGCAGCGTGAGCAGCGCACATAGGAGAGGCAGACTGTGCTGTAAACGGACGACAACCTGCATTGTGCTGCACAGTCAGCTCGGCTGGTGGTGTGTCTGCTCGGTGTTCTCCACGACATCTCCGACGTGTATACCGTCACTATTCCATCCCCAAAAGGGTCACTTAAATGAACATTGACCCTACATACAAGCTACAATGTGCATTCGAAGTCGGTACTTCAAAGCCCCGGAGTATGTTTAAACCGCAAGGAACGGCAGCAACGGCAGCTGGTGTGATTGACGCCTAATACCTCGGAACTTCGCAGGGCACAACTGTCCTGATATCGTTAGGACAGACGGTCTAGTCTGGCAGTTCAGTAGTCCTTCACGCCAATGAAGTGCGTGGACAAGAACTTCATGTACCTATGGCACGAAGACAGAACACGGGACCAGCGCAATGCTCCTCTCATTCGCGATTTGAATCTTTGCAACATGTGCACAAATGCAGAAACGGAAGTAAATCCATATTCACGAAGCTTTGCACCATAGAACCACAAGAGAGGGCTTCTGCGTATGAAGCTGGACCTCCACATGGTTGTTCCCTACAACAACTCATGTCTCTCTGCTGTGGAGTCCTCCGAATTTGAATCTTGTACAGTATGTGGCAAACGCGCACGCGCACCCTGTTTGGGAACAATATCACCCTATCCTATTTTCGCCCATCCGGCTTTGACAACGCAATCCCTTGCCTGTATTGGAGAAAAGATGTCGGCCCGTCGGCCAACGTCAATACACGACCGACCGTCAACTGACCGTTGTCAAACGATAAACCCACTCGGGCTGGGGTCAACCCTGAACACGATGCGGTTTCCCGTGTTTAGGGTTGATTCATCCCTAATCGCATGTCATCCAGATGGGGTTTATTTTTTTTCTGACTGCGGAGTGCATTCGAAAAAATTTGCCGACGAGAATGCAACGCAGGTGATATTGGCACAGTTTGCGAGTACACTACGCTGCTCCTGTCTCATCAGAAGAATCCAGGGGGAGGCTGAATCCAGGGCTGTCGAGTCGAGCCAATTGGCCCGAGTCGTTTGGCAACAATGGCGCGAAAATACGCTTTTGCAAGGTGCAACTACTGTACGCTGGTGCGTGTCAGAGGGAAGGCACTCATTGGCAAGGCATTGCATGGCTGGCGATTCTTCTGAAGCGGAATTTGCTCGAAGATACCTGCCATCGTGGAAGCAGAAGCTGGTCGCCGTGTGTACACTGCACACTAAACTGGTCCACATGTACATATGAACGCCATTGCTTGGTGTTTGGTTGAAACGAAGGTGCATTAGTGCAAACGAGCCCAACATGCATAGAAACAGCTTGTTTTTGCATCTACTGAAGGCAATACAAACTGTAATGATACGGGAGAGGAGAACCAGTGTCAGGTCACTTTTCTACAACCAGCTCAGCATCCAAATTTTGTGGCACCACGCTGAACCGCATGCCACCTTGCAAATGTAGAATTACACTGGATCAGAAGGATTGCATCCAGGAATTACCCTGGATGAAGCCTGTTCTCCTTGCTCTTCTACTCCACGGGAGAAGGTAGAGTGAGCTTCTCGAAAGCAGAGGGAATGGTCGAACATAGTGGGGGGCGGGCATTAATTGATGAAGTCGAAGGAGGAGCTGGGGGATGCCCCGGCGAGGTAAAAACGGCGCGACGAGCGGAGGGAGGGGATCCACGGACGAGATAGCGATGCATTCGACACGAGAAGCGTCGTAACTCGATGGCGTGGCCAATCAGGCAACGAGCGGCTCGAGGAGGGGAGACGGCTCCGATCAGCGGTGGAGGAAGTGGATGAGATGACTAGGAGGAGAGCAATGAGGTACACGAGGCACGTCATGAGCGGATGCTGCTGCTTGCCCCAACAACCCTGTTGGCGCTAATGAAGCTCAGATGGTCAGGAACGCTATAAATCACCTCCAAAGTTAGGAGTAGTTTCAAAATGGTGTCATTTTACTGCATGCCTAGTGCAAATGGTTATCATTGAAGCAGCAGGTGTATGCGGTATTCTAATACTGGCATAATGTTCGAACCGAATGCTAAAGGCATGACCAAACACTATGTATGATCGACTGGACGCCGTAGCAGGCGGCATGGTGTGCAGGAGAGACGAAAGTGGGAAGGCAGGGCAATTGTGGCATGGATGCATTGCGATGGGGATCACGATTCGCGAAGTGATCAAGGCGGAGAGCGGGGCAGCTCGCACAATGTTCCAGTTGTTCTGATTCGCCGCGCGCTAGTCTGTGTTGTGTTGTGCTGTAGTGCAGTGTTCTGTGTTTGGCGCGAACGTCGAGGCGCAACCATAATTTGTCGGCAAAACATTCCTCATCTCCTTGCAGACCTGTCCTCGATTCGTTTGAGGACGTCCGGATCTCACCAATAATGTTACCCGTTGATTTTCTGTACTGTAAGCTAAGAGAGCATACCTAGGCATTGAAACAGGGCCCAATCTGGACAGCAAACCGGGAACCTTAGTTGAGGAGGAAATTGTCCAAAGCTGACTCCGGGAAAACGGGCCAAATAAGGATTGTAATCAATCCAGTACGGCCGCAATAAGGAATTTACAGTACACGTAAACTTCTTGTACCAGTATTCCTGATGTGCTGAAGGAAACCCATGCATATAACTGAGGTCTGGAACTGATTGGTGGGCCAGTCAGTCTCAATTTAATACTAGTCCATATACCGGTACGATGAGATGCATGACTTGATCTGGCTACAGTGTGTCGAGCACTGGCACACACTGGTTCTCCTGACAAATCACAAGTCCGTACTATCAGATTATTGCTCACCACATCCGTACAGCCTACATCCTGCCATCTCTTCCTACAATACTGCCTCTGATTTGCATTGCCCCACAGCAGAGCAACTAGAGGATAGACCAGGCCCCAAGTCCTCACAGCAGACTCTCCAGCACCTCCTCCTTTGTCTTCTTCTGTCCTAGCCGCCTCACTGTCCCCGAGCCATTCTCCCCAGCCCCATTATCGGCTCCCTGCCCAGGTCCTCCACTGTCTGCTCCCCCCTCGTTTTCTGCCGCGCTGTCGGCGCTCCCAGCACTGTCCGCGGCATTGTCAGCGGCAGGCACCAAGTACTTGGCCACAATGGCTTCACTTTTCACCATGATCGCCTCTGGCACCGTCGACAGCACCTCGTCCAGCGCGCTCACCGCCGCTGCCGCCTGCTTCGCCATGCGTGCACGCCCGTCTGGCTGGTTCAGGCGGAGCAGCGTATCCAGCCCGCTCAGCGCTTCCAAACACCGGTCCGCCGCCGCACTCGCCACCGCGCCGGCCTCAGGACTGCCGGGGAAGTAGCCGTCCCCTCCCGGCGTGTAGGCCAGCCCCGCTGCCGCGCCTTCCGCCGCGTACCGTGTAAGGGCACGCAGGTCTCCGCGGAGAGTGCCCGCGGGCCCCGCGCGCAGCAGGGCGCGCGCCTGGTTGAGGTCTTCGGGGGAGGAGGCTTGGTCGTCGACGACGGCCTGGACTAAGAGCAGCTGCTCGCGCGTCAGCAGCACGGACGGCACGAACGACTCCAGCGGATCCAGCTTCTTCTTCTTGATGTACCGACTCAAACCGCGCTGTAACGTGCTCGGCGAGTCGCCGTCAGCTGCGGCGGCTGGAGGTGGAAGAAGAAAAATGCCGTTTCCGCAAATGGCTGAAGCGACGCCCCCCAAAGCAAGCAGCGAAAGGCGGCGAGAGACCGTGAAGGCCGCTGGGGACTCACTGGCATTTGTCGAGTCCCTTTCAAGTCGCGAGCTGGTCGGAGATTGGACGGCGAAAGCAGGTGAGCGGGAGGAGGCATCAGCGAACGACGCCGACGTGTGTCGAGCGAGCCGAGCTGGCGTGCAGCGAGCGCGGGAAGGAGGAGAACGTAGCGGGTGGTTTGAAAAGAAAGGCCCGCGTGACAGGCACCACGGGAGCGCCGTGAATGGTGCGTGGGCGAGCGCCATTGCAAGGAGGACAAAGGGCGCGAGTGGCCGACGACCCTTGGGATGTGAGATGACACGTGCAGCTGATTCTTGGTGATGGACGCCCTAGTTCTGTGCTTTGATCCGATCGGCTCAGAATATTTCAGCGATATAAGGTGCTTCTGGGCTCGAATATAAACCTGACTCGGGTGTTCGACTAAAGACAAAACGTAGGCGTTTGTTTTGTTTTCTTTCATGTTGTTAACATATATCTGGGATGGAAAATAATCTCGCAGCTCATTGGTGAAAAGCGTATATGGCCGTAATTCGCCATACGAGACACAGATGTATTACGCTTTTGCTGATGTAACCAAAGGATCCAGTAGATAGGATAGGATCTGTTAAAGCAGCGGTATACATTTGGCGCTACTGTTTGTTTTGTACAGTGATGGAACTCCATTTCGCCCAGACGAAAAAAAAACTGGGGGAGCGAGAGTGTTGGCGAAAACCAGATGCACTTGTGTTGTGAGGGAACCAGAGTGGGGTTGGTTGTGAGTCACAGAATGGATGAAATGCCCTCGCCACCGAACTCACCACTCACTCTCACACACCAAGGAAAATAAGCGCCTATTACCTACTCCAGAAAGAAACAACCACGGCGCGCGCTAGAAGGTGCTACGCCAGCAGCGCGACCAGACCAGGCACGAAGTGGCGCGTGAGTTAGGCACGAAGGAGAATTAGCCAAAAGGGCGAAACGACTATAAAAATCGCGCGCCAGCAGCATCCTGTGCAGCAACTGTATCGCACTCACCTCTAGCCTCGCACGCGCCCTAACATTCCGCCCGATCCAGCATAGCGCGCTCCAGCATTTCGCGCTCAGGATAGCAGCGCACGCAAGCAAAACGCGCGCAGCAAGGGCGCTCGTAATATTCATAGCGCGCGCGGGTACCAGTGACGAATCGTGTTCTCCAAGGGGACACACCGTCTTTGCGCATATAAGAAGAGGTGGGAGCTGCGTCACGTGCCCCCAAACGCATTTGTGCCGTCTAATACGGGGAGCCCATTCCGCATTCCCCATTCCGCATTCCCCATTCCGCATTCCCCATTCCGCATTCACCATTCCGCATTCCCCATTCCGCATTCCCCATTCCGCATTCCCCATTCCGCATTCCCCATTCCGCATTCCCCATTCCGCATTCCCCATTCCGCATTCCCCATTCCGCATTCCCCATTCGGCATTCACCATTCCGCATTCCCCATTCCGCATTCGCCATTCCGCATTCCCCATTCCGCATTCCCCATTCCGCATTCCCCATTCCGCATTCCCCATTCCGCATTCCCCATTCCGCATTCCCCATTCCGCATTCCCCATTCCGCATTCCCCATTCCGCATTCCCCATTCCGCATTCCCCATTCCGCATTCCCCATTCCGCTCTCCCCCTTCCGCATCCCCCCTTCCGTGCCGCCCCTTCCGCGTTCCCCCTTCCGCGTTCCCATTTCCACATTCCCCCTTCCGCAATCCCCCTTTAGCGTCCCCCCTTCCGCCAACCCCCTTCCGCATTCCGCCTTCCGCCTTCCCCCTTCCGCGTTCCCCCTTTCGCGGTAACCCTTTGGCATTCCCCCTTCCGCGTTGTCCTTCCTCGTTCCCGCTTCCGCATTCCCCCTTCCCCATCCCCCTTGCGCATCCCCCCTTCCGCATTCCCCCATCAGGCCCCATGTTTCCCCCCATCAGGCCCCATGTTTCCCCCCATCAGGCCTCATGCTCCCCCCCATCAGGCCCCATGTTCAGGCCCCATGCTTCCCCCCCATCAGGCCCCATGTTTCCCCCCATCAGGCCCCATGCTTCCCCCCATCAGGCCCCATGTTTCCCCCCATCAGGCCCCATGTTTCCCCCCATCAGGCCCCATGTTTCCCCCCATCAGGCCTCATGCTCCCCCCCATCAGGCCCCATGTTCAGGCCCCATGCTTCCCCCCCATCAGGCCCCATGTTTCCCCCCATCAGGCCCCATGTTTCCCCCCATCAGGCCCCATGTTTCCCCCCATCAGGCCCCATGTTTCCCCCCAGCAGGCCCCATGTTTCCCCCCATCAGGCCCCATGTTTCCCCCCATCAGGCCCCATGTTTCCCCCCATCAGGCCCCATGCTTCCCCCCATCAGGCCCCATGTTTCCCCCCATCAGGCCCCATGTTTCCCCCCATCAGGCCCCATGCTTCCCCCCATCAGGCCCCATGTTTCCCCCCAGCAGGCCCCATGTTTCCCCCCATCAGGCCCCATGTTTCCCCCCATCAGGCCCCATGTTTCCCCCCAGCAGGCCCCATGTTTCCCCCCATCAGGCCCCATGTTTCCCCCCATCAGGCCCCATGTTTCCCCCCAGCAGGCCCCATGTTTCCCCCCATCAGGCCCCATGTTTCCCCCCATCAGGCCCCATGTTTCCCCCCATCAGGCCCCATGCTTCCCCCCCATCAGGCCCCATGTTTCCCCCCATCAGGCCCCATGTTTCCCCCCATCAGGCCCCATGCTTCCCCCCATCAGGCCCCATGTTTCCCCCCATCAGGCCCCATGTTTCCCCCCATCAGGCCCCATGTTTTCCCCCATCAGGCCCCATGTTTCCCCCCATCAGGCCCCATGTTTCCCCCCATCAGGCCCCATGTTTCCCCCCAGCAGGCCCCATGTTTCCCCCCATCAGGCCCCATGTTTCCCCCCAGCAGGCCCCATGTTTCCCCCCATCAGGCCCCATGTTTTCCCCCATCAGGCCCCATGTTTCCCCCCAGCAGGCCCCATGTTTCCCCCTGCAGGCCCCATGTTTCCCCCTGCAGGCCCCATGTTTCCCCCTGCAGGCCCCATGCTTCCCCCTGTAGGCCCCATCTTTCCCCATGCAGGCCCATGCTTCCGCCCCCTGCAGGCCCCCTGTACACCCCGAGCGCACACGTCCATAATCCCCCCATGCTAGCCCAATCATTTCCCAATGTTAGCCCCATGTTTCCCACGGCAAGCACGATGTTGTACCCTTGTAGGCCCCATGTTTCCCCTGCCTGCCCCATGTTTCCCCTGCCTGCCCCATGTTTCCCTGTGCAGGCCCCATGTTTCCCCCTTCAGCCCCCGTGTTTCCCCTTGCAGGCCCCCTGTTTCCCCCATCATGTCCCCTGTTTCCCCCTGCGAACCCCCTGTTCCCCCCATGTCAGATCCATTTCTCCCCCCTGATAGCCCCATATTCCCCACGTGATAGCCCCATGTTTCCCCCATGCTAGCCTCATGTTTCCAAGGCTGGGTTATGAGTGCATCGCTGCTCACAGCAGCATGGAAAGTGCTCACCAGCAAAGGAACCACTCAGACCGCATAATCTTACTCACCTTCGCTTGTCACATCCTCTTTTCCCACCCTACCCTTCCCTTCCAAGGTGCCAAGGTGAGTGCATCGCTGCTCACAGCAGCATGGAAAGTGCTCACCAGCAAAGGAACCACTCAGCCCGCATACTCTTACTCACCTTCGCTTGTCACATCCTCTTTTCCCACCCTACCCTTCCCTTCCAAGGTGCCAAGGTGAGTGCATCGCTGCGAACAGCAACGTATGGAGTGCTCACCAGCAAAGGAACCACTCAGCCCGCATACTCTTACTCACCTTTGCTTGTCACATCATCTTTTCCCACCCTACCCTTCCCTTCCAAGGTGCCAAGGTGAGTGCATCGCTGCTCACAGCAGCATGGAAAGTGCTCACCAGCAAAGGAACCACTCAGCCCGCATACTCTTACTCACCTTCGCTTGTCACATCCTCTTTTCCCACCCTACCCTTCCCTTCCAAGGTGCCAAGGTGAGTGCATCGCTGCAAACAGCAACGTATGGAGTGCTCACCAACAAGGGAACCTGGTGCCTGACCACACTCTTACTCACCTTTGCCACTCACATCCTCTTTTCCCTCCCTCCCCTTCCCTTCCAATATTGGGTGGTGAGTGCATCGCTGCTCACAGCAACGTGAGGAGTGCTCACCCAACAGAGGGTCCTCCCTTCTAGAACACTCTTACTCACCTTTGCCATTCACCTCCTCTTTTCCCTCCCTCCCCTTCCCTTCCAATGTTGGGTGGTGAGTGCATCGCTGCTCACAGCAACGTGAGGAGTGCTCACCAGCAAAGGGACCTCCCTTCCAGAACACTCTTAGTCACCTTCGCCACTCACATCCTCTTTTCCCTCCCTCCCCTTCCCTTCCAAGGCGCCGTAGTGAGTGCATCGCTGCGAACAGCAGTGTGTGGAGTGCACGCCAGCAAATGAATCACCCTGTCACCACACTCTTACGCACATTCGCATGTCACATCCTCTTTTCCCTCCCTATCCTTCCCTCCCATGGTTGGGTGGTGAGTGCAACGCTGCTCTCAGCAGCGTGTGGAGTGCTCACCAGCATGGGAACCTATCAGCCCGCATAATCCTACTTGCCTTTTCTCGTCACATCCTCGTTTCCCTGTGTCCCCCTCCCTTCCCAGACTGGGCGGTGAGTGCATCGCTGCTCATCTTAGCGTGTGGAGCGCTAAGATCCGACTGGCTTGCCAACTGGGGTCGCTCAATCGCCTGGTCTCTCTTGACCCGTTGGCCATTCGGGCTGCTCTCCTCGCTGGTCTGCCCCTTGCTGCCAACCCCGCCTGGTGGGTGCATTGCACGCTGCACAGGTGACTTCACCAGTTTACTCAAAATTCGCCTGCTGGGTGCCCTGCTGTGCATGCCCTTGGCATGTGAGCCGACCCAGAAACAACCTCCCCGAATGCTCGCCGCACTCCTCACTTCCACGCCTACATGCTCGCCCCGTTTAGCATCCCATGCTTGCGTCATGTTTACCCACAAGCTTTGCTCCCATGATTCCTCCACGCTATCCCAAAGATTCCCCCTGCAAGCCCCATGTTGCCCGCTACAGGCCCCATGTATCCCCCGTGCTATGTTACCCCCCTACTGCTAGCCCCATTTTTCCACCGTGCTAGCCCCATGTTTCCCCCGTGCTAGCCCCATGTTTACCCCCTGCTATCCCCGCGTGTTGCCCCTATTTGCCCCGTGTTTAGGTGCAGGCTAGCTTGCACACATACCCCTACGTCACAACTCCCTCACACAAGGCGCCACGTCCACAAAGGCAAAGTGGACAAAACCAACGATTTTGCACGAGGTGAGACAACGGTATTCCTCCCTACCCTGCCCTGCCGTTTAACCCCTGCCCTAAACCCCTTCTGCCCTGCCATTACCCCGCCACCATTCACTACCTGCTGCGCACCTCCTTCAGTCCAACTCCAAACCTGCCCTGCCTTCCCCCCATTGCCCTTGCCTCCCTCCCTACCCTGCCCTCCCCCTTACCATGCCGTAAGGTACCCCCCTGCTAGCCCTCCCTTCCCCGCCCTCCCCTCCCCCTAATCATACCCTAAATTACCCCTGCTAGCCCTCCCTTCCCTCTCATTGCCTGCCATGAGTTTCCACCCTACTAGCCCTCCCTTCCCCGTCATCATGCCATTAGTATACCCCTTGCTAGGCCTCACTCCCCCCTCATCATGCACACAGTATCCCCCTGCAAGCCCACCCTCTCCCGTCATCATGCCATCGCTAGCCAACCCTCTCCCATGCGGTATTCGCCTCATCCTATGGGCGGGCCCACCGCAATCAAAGGGGCTGGCCAGCCCTCTCCTATGCGGTTGGCTCGCCCAATCCGCTACTTGAAATGCATATGTTGCGAATAATCAATTTGGGTGCATGGTGTGCAGAATGGGTCGTCCGAGAAAGATCTCCTCCGCAACATGGAGATCAAGGGTACAAGAGATTGTAAAGGGCAAGGACCAGGCAAGCCTCGCGATATCAAAGACGATGCAAATTCCAATTTGCTACTTGCGGTGTGGTCTGAGCTCGCTGATGGGTGAGGGTCGAACCGCGACAGTGTCCGACTTGGTGTACTTCCTCTTGCACTCTGGGTCAGGGGCAAAAGATGCGCTCATGATGGCAGCAAAAAAAGCTGGTGAGTGGAGTATTCAATTTCCATGGCTTAGTGGAGTTTATTTGAGTGATACCCCACCTCCGTCTGTACTAAGGGAACGCATGTAGCCGACACTCTGACGTTGAAACCACGATTGGTCAGGTGCGGACGGTGAAGAGGCACAAGGGAGGGTGGAAGAGTATTTGACGAGGTTTGCTGAAAAATTTCAAGGAGGACGGGATCGTGCGGCTGGTCGGCCCGAAGCATTGATGGAAGGGCAACCTATCGCAATAGGAGGCCTGGTTTACGCGTTCCCTGCATTTCAGGGGAAACGTCCAGCGCGCACAGGGGGCGGGGCGACGGTTGATGGAGGGACGAGTGCGGACCATGATTCGCCATATGCAAATCAGCCACAGAATGGTATATGTGTGCGTCATCTAGTACAGTACGCTTTGAGGTGCGCATGTGGGAGTGCCTTCAATAATACATTTCGATCGGTAATGTTAATTTTGGAACCAACAGATGACCCGAATGACGTCTCAGCATCATTGAATGAGAGCGACGTCGTTGGTGAGGGGTGCATGGAGCAGCGGGAGGTGGTGATCGACATAGATCCGTGTGTCCCTCCCCAAGAAGGCGATGTTTCTATCACGGTGGATCCTGAATGTAGAGACCCGAGTGGATTGCCGGCAGGAGTCACCCACGTGGATACTTCAGACAATGCCGATCCACACACCGATGCGGGGTAAGATTCTGTATGGCCTTGTAGACTCACCTTGTTGCACTCCATGTCCCCAACTATCGGGCTTCCTTAATCAATGCTGCGCGAGCAACCAACAGTAACGGTTTATTATTGATGTCCACAATTACACACTCATGTATTTGGCCATCAACCCGGTTGTTCATGTGTGTATTCATTGTTTTTTTCTCGTCAACAATTCATCGATGCAGGAGCGCCCACGTTCAGGACAGTTACTCCGAGCCCAGAGTCGGACGCTGGCCTGCTCAACCAACCCTCACCGGGCTTCGCGATGTCGTATGCCTGCTGAACCCGATACACCTCATTCGGTTTTTCATGGTTATGACTCTTCATTGCACTGCGAGTGGAGGTTGTGGTGGATCCATGAAGCTACGCTCTTGGAAGCTGGTGTGGGCTGTCCTCGGACTGGTGTGGACCTGCGACAGGTGTGGAAAGTCCGTTTCGGTCTGGTCTGTCGATCGCAAGCCACCACCGAGCGCTGCAGACAAGCCTGGCCGGAAAAGTTTGCCGATGCTGCAACGGTTCCTCGCGTCTTTCGCACTTGCAGGTTTCGGTTACTAGGCTCTGTCGGAGGTAGGCAGGAATTTGGGTGTGCCAATCCCGTGTAAGAGAACGTTTTACAAGTACATGAGCGGGGCGGGTGGTTTGTGGGAAAAGATCATTGCTCATGCTACGAGGTGTATGGAAAAGGCGCGTGAGTGCATGCTAGCTCGTAAGGAGAGTGGTTATTGGATTTGCGTGGATGGTAGGTGGGGTCAGGTACGAGAGGCCGAGTGGTGCAGCGTCACATTTATGGATCCTTTTCACGCGTAGTTTATACACTGTGTGACACTACCCAAGACCGAAGAAGGTGTGTCGTCGACGCAACTAGAGGGAAGGGCTTTTGAGAGGGGGTTGGAAGACTTCAAGAAGTGGGGGTTTCCTGTGAAAGGTATCATTACTGACGAGGGGACGAGTTTCAAGGTTGGTATTCTTGGTACAGACATTGAGCATCAAATGGACGTATGGCACAAAGGTCGTTCGTTGTCACGAAAGTTCGTCAAGTTTTTCGTGGACGCCCGAAAGGACACGATCCGTGCCATTGAGGCAAAGACCATTGAAGATTGGTGGAATGACAAGCCGGATGATATGCGTGCCTGGTTGAAAGTTCATGGAGGTTGAGGTCTCAAAGGTATAAACAAAAAAACGCCCAGAATAAAACTCATAAAGGAGGTGTGTCGTGTGAGTGGTATCCAGTACGTGGATTTGTCTAAGGATGATTCGCCGTGGAAGTACCCTGAGATGCGACGAGTTACACGTATACGCCGCAGACACGGCAAAAGCATGGCGGCCACATCATCAGCCTCCCGCACGACTTGTCCCGAGGGGTCGTGCACAGGGGGCGGGGAGAGGGTCGAGAGAGTTGACGTTCCGATCACTCAGTCAAATGAGGAGAGCAGAGACAAGTATGATGCGACGACAGAGAGCTTTCTCACGCGTGAGAGCTGTTCCGACTTTGTTGCTATTGACATTCTGGAGGAGGGGGCCATAGAGACTGCAGTCGATCCTGGTCGGATAGATTTGCATTATTCGGATGTTAGAGAGCCGTGGGGATACGATCCACATCCCGAGCATGGAGTGCGGCCTTGCTCGGTGGCATCTTTCTTCATCATGCAGGCCTCTGCGGCGCGCCACGCCGATGCGACTCGTGGCATGGTGGCCGCCGCACCGAGACACAGATCCAGTGCTGATGAGACTGGTGAGATGTTTCACATTGCAATGATGTCCCTTATGCTATTCCATCCATGTTGTGATACATATGATCCATTAGCACATTTGCACATGAGCAGGGCCTCAGATTCACTTTTAGGGTCGTCACCCCATCAGGGTTCCCCTGCGTGTTAACTCTGATTTTCAGTGTCCAAAAAAAAAAAAGGCTGAAATGTCAGTGTTGCGAATTTTTAAAGCCTGATGCATCAGTGTACCTTTTGCAAAAACACGGACTCTCTATTAAAGTCCTACTTTTAGATAAATAGTCACAAGAGTTCTAGTTCTAATAGTCTCTAATAGGGGTCATGCATGCATCATCGTCGGAATCAGAGACATCGTCATCACCCCCCTGAGCCTTTGGCTCTTCTTCCCACTCCTGAAGTGCCTCCTTTCCCCTGCCACTACCCTGCCCCTCCCTTGCTGGAGCTGCTGCCACATTGACGTTGACCTGCGCTAAGCCCGAAAACAACAGATCGATGCCGGTCACAGCTTCGGTACGGTCTACATGCGGCTGGCGATGCGCATCACCGGCGTGTTCGCCGCTTGTTTCCGTGCCGTCAAGCTGCTCCACCATGGTAAGCAGCGCGGACGGCCTCGCATCTAACCTAGTGACAACTGCAGAGGCAAGGGATTGCCAACGCAAAACACAGGCTTCGGCTGGCTGCCTCTTGGTACACTAGGGTGAACGAGGGAAACCCTGTTTCAGATGCAAAGCTTGGAGAAGAAGGGGCCCCTGGATGGCAGAAACGGTGGATGGGTTGGGCGGCGTGGAGGATGGCACGGTGCTTGCCAGCACAGCCCAAACCTAACGCATCGCACGTGATGGGTACGGGGCAGGAACCTTGGCAGCCCGCCAGCACCACATGTCTGCCACGTTCGGATTCGCCAACACTGGATGCTGCAGCGAAACGGCCCAATGGTGTGAGGCGCCCCGCCAGAAAAACACCTCTCAACGTGAACCTAAGGCAACATTTCTAAGGGTGGTCCCGCCACGGGGTGCCTACATACAGGGAATCTGAGATTCCCTGCAATTGCGGTCGAGGTGACATGGCACAGGTGAGATTCGCTTTCAGTGTCGGTTTCGTTACAACGTAGTGGCATCAGTGTACAACGGAAAAAAAACCTGAAATATCAGTGTGGCCAATAAAAAAACGCTGAAAGATCAGTCCTACAAAAATCCCAACTCTGACTTTTCAGGGTAGCTTGAAAATCGGCTGCCAAAATCAAGAATTTCAGGGTTTTTTTCCTGATATCTGAGGCCCTGCACATGAGTCCTCAGAGAGCGATTTCGAAACCCCAAATCCCATGTATTGTCATGCCACTCCCACCAGGTACAAATGGAGCAAGTGCAGCTGGAGCAGACGGGGATAGAGAGACCACGGAGCACGCTCGACGCTGGGTGGATAGGGGCTCCCGTGGCGGGAAGAGGAGTGGGGCGGGCGCTGCAGTGCAAGAGAAGGTTATGGAAGATCCGGATGAGCTGATCGAGGAGGTGACAGTGGCGCAAAGGTTTAGTGTACACTTCCATCATGTGATGGCACGATGCGCGCTACGCTGGAAACAGGGAGTCCCAATGACTGCTAAGGATGTGGCCAAGGAGATTGGGAGTGCAGCTGATCATTGGGCTGGAGACCATTCGCGCTGTGGTGGGGGCACAGAGACACCTAGATGCGTGGCTGATAACTGGGGACCAGAGAGTGTACTGTACCAACATGGTTCTCGTACACATACCGCATTCAAGGAGTGGCTCGAGGAAAATTGTGGGGAGGCGGAGATGAGACCATATGTTCACGGGTCTTGCAATTGGATGAATGAATCATTTCATTCACTGATATGCAAGTATGCTCCGAAACGCACATTGTTTCGTGGAAGCATGAGGGCGCGGGTTGGTCTTACCGTGTTGCATTGGAACCATTCATTGGATAGGGAGGTTCGTGCAACCAAGATCAGGATGAGTTGAGTTACCAGGGTGCGGCGTGGTAAGAGCTTGCGAATCTTAGGGCCTATGAACTGGAGTTGGGTCGACGACATAATGCGAGAGTGGAATTGCATGACGCCTGTTGTTTCAGCGGAACCCGGGCCTGACACTGCCACCCCCACTGCACCGGCAACACCCGAGCCCCCTACGAAGCGGAGGCGTACCAATGAGGGACAACCCTTCACAGCCTCGCGATCCTTGCTTGGTAAGTCAATGAGGGTACATTTCGTCATCGTTTTTTGTCCCGTAACACTTGCTAATGTTACACATGGACATGTATACTCATTGATTGCAGGACCCCTGACCAACATGCGATGACGTCAAGGCGAACGAATTATTTGAGGGCTGCCATCCGTGTCTGAGTTTGTTATCTCAAAGTGTGTGTGATGCTTACAAACTTCGGTACACAATGTCACTGGAACCTCCTGCATGGTCAACCCCGTTTCCCTCTGCTGGTATGTTCTTCCCACTTGCAAAAGAAGCAGCTACTCTGCCGGTGCACGCACCCTACTCCCTCTGTCATGCTCATCTACCCGTCAGTCAACCATCACATCGCGCACCATTCCATCCTAACGCAACCTTGACCACCATGCTTATCCACACTCCACCCCATCCCACCCCGTCGTATCATCAGGTACGTGGCATTCCAGCCGGTGGCAGTAGGGGAGGTGGCGGTGGGGATGGAGATGCCGGACGGCAAATGGGAGGTGCTGACATGCGCTCTCGCGGGGCAGCAGGGGCGCTGTGCTCTCGCCCCCTCTCGGCAAGCGCCACCTCTCTGTGATTGGCTCTTCCAGGACAGTGGAGCTGGTGGCATGGGGGGACTGCGCGAGTGGCGATGGTGTGGATGCGAATGCAACCAATCAGAAGGGGGCCAGTGGCGGTTCTTCTACTGGCCGTGAGATTGGGAGTGAGCATGAAGGGGTGCGTGGTGGCATGCGTGGTGGTGAGCATGATAGGCTGCGTGGTGGCATGCGTGATGGTGTGCGTGGTGGAATGTATGGTGATGTGCATGGGGGTGTGGGTGATGGCATGCATGGTGGAGTGCATAGTGTGGTTAATGGCACATTGTAGCATTGACCAGCGTGTGATTGTTCTATTGTATCAAAGCATACAAGAGCTGCATTTGCATGTCAAGGTCCCCCTTTTCATTCTCCCGTCCTCCTCGGACCCTTTTCTCGACCCTCCTTACAACCAGGGCCCTAGATATCAGACTTTGTAGTCTGATTCAGAGTCCGTTCAGACTTTTTTTTTGTACCTAGTCTGAAGTCTAAGAATATCTTTATGTACCTTGTCTGATTTTTCAGAGTTTTGCTTTATGAGTTGTCTGAAATTTCAGCCTAATTTTATTAGTGTAGGCTGAGCCTCATACTTGTATCGGGGGTGCCCCCTGAAACCCGTAATACAGCGGTTTCCGCCAGCCTGGTGGCGTGTAGCACTCACCGTCAATCACGGGCGGGAAACCAAAATTTCCCGAGCGCGGCACCGCAAACTCCCGAGCAGGGTCCTCGCTAGGTTTTGAACCCCCCTGATGCGTCAGATGGGCCCATCGGGCACACGCTTGCCCTGTCACACCACTTTTGCCCTCTATCACACCGAAGAGTCAACCTGTCAGGGCAAAAATCCGCCCTGTCAAGGAAGAGATTCGCCCTGCCTAGGGTGAAGTGCGAAGGTTCGCCTTGTACAGAGCGAAGAGATTCGCCCTGTACAGAGCGAAGTGCGAAAATTCGCCCTGTCAGGGTGAAGATTCTAACTGTCAGGGCGAAGATTCGCCCTGCCTAGGCAGAGATTTGCCTTGTCAGGGTAGAGATTCGCCTTGTCAGAGTAGTGATTCGCCTTGTCAGAGCTGTAAATCTCGTTATTCTATGTTTCAGTTCAAGACAAAACAGAAATTGTATTTAACTCTGAACGTTCAGCGTAAAAAACGTAGTGTTGTCTGAATTTTCAGACTAGAAAAAATAAGTAACTCTGACAGCCAGACTAGGAAGAGGGGTGTACTCTGAGGCGTCAGACTACCTCAAAACGAATCTAGGGGCCTGCTTACAACCAGCCCAATGGAATGTGAGTTCAATCCTTCAGGCCCGCTCTCACCCCCATGCAACATGCAAACCATCCTTCTCTTCTCATCTCCTCGTTCCCCCAGCCCCGCCCCATTCTTCCTCATACCATACTCACCCCGCCGAGTCTCCCTAGACCCTCCTCCCTTTTCTTTTCTCACTGTTTCTGCCTACTTCCTGTCAAACATTATAAATGTTTCTGTTGTGTAGGCTACACTGGGTTAGCCTTTAGGGGGTATACTTTTCTAGGGTTTCCTACTTGTACTCCAACATCTTTCTAGTTCAACACTTCTTGTTTCTGACATGGTTCTAGACCTAGGACTTACCTAAGGGCCCACCATTAGAAGCGCCCTCGAGCGCCGTATCGACTTAGCGCCCTCGAGCGCCGCTCTCCTAGTGCGCCCTCGTGCGCCTCTCCTTCTCCTGCTGCCCGTGCGCAGCTCGCTAGTGCCGCGCGCGGCCTTTTTTTTAGCGCGCGTCGCCCGCTAGCAGCCCGCGCGCGGCCGTTTCTGCGCGCGCGCCGACCGTTAGCCGCCCACGCCGCCACGAGCAGCCCGCTAGCCGCCCGTCGACCGGCCCTTCTGGCCGCGCGTAGCCCGCTAACGGCCCGCAGCCCCGCCCGTAGGCCGCGTCGCCCTCGTAAGCCGCCGCCCGCGCGCGACTGCAGCCCACGCACAGCCACGGACCGCCCGCGCACAGGCCCACCGTCGCGCCGTGCCGTGTAGTCTAGTCCGAGCCGCGCCGCGCCGCCCTGCCCGAGCCGCGCCGCCCGAGTCGCGCCGCCCGAATCGCGCCGCCCTGACCGAGCCGCGCCGCCCCACTTGCTGCAACTACTGCTCATGTTCCTGCTACTGCTACTGCTGCTACTGCTACTGCTACTACTGCTACTGTCACTACTGCTACTGTCACTATGGCCACTCCTACTGTTCTCACCTTTGACGCTGAGGGCTGTCCGATTAAGTTCGATGTCTGGCTCGATGACCTTCACCTGTACCTCCAGATCACTGCCAAAGACGATGTTTCCCTCTATGACCACACGTCCGGCGCTGCTCCCGCACCTGCTGCTACTGCTGACAGTACTGCTCGCTCACAGTGGCAGACTCGTGACGCCCATGCTCGCCTAGCCGTTCGCAGCCACCTGCCGTTAGATGAGCGCGAGCACTTCGGCCAGCATAAGACCGCTAAGGAACTGTATGATGCTGTAGTTGCCCGCTACTCCTCCCCTACCACTGCTGCGATAGGCCGTCTCTCGCTACCCTACCTCTTCCCCGATCTGTCTGCCTTTGCCACTGTAGCTGACCTCATCACTCACCTCCGTACTAGTGATCTCCGCTACCGTGCTGCACTCCCCCCCGATTTCCTAGCCAAGAACCCCCCCCCCCCGATGTACCTCACCCTCTACCACCTGGTCACTCGCCTCCCTGACTCTCTTCGCGCTGTCAGGGACCACTTTCTCGCTCTCTCCCCCACAGACCTCACTGTCGACCTGCTCGAGAAGGAACTCCTAGCAGCTGAGAAGAGCATTACAGCTGTAGGTGCCTCTCATGGCGACCCTCGCACTCCCTTCTTTGAGGGATGCTCCCCCTCCCCCCTTCTCCCCTCCATTGCATCTGCTGCTGCTGTCGACTACCTCGGTGCTGAGGGGGTCGGAGCTGCGTTCGCTCCCAGTGGGAGGCGCAAGGGCGGCAGGGGCAAGGGGGGCCGGGGTGGAGGGGGCGGCGGCGGGGGAGGTGGTGGTGGAGGGGGTGGAGGGGGCGGCGGCGGTGGCGGCAGTGGTGGGAGTGGTACTGGTGGTGGGGGGGGCAGTGGCGGAGCCGGGGGTGGTGGAGGCGGCGGTGGTGGAGGTGGAGGTGGTGGTGGTGGCAGTGGTGGCGGAGGTGGAGCTGGTGGAGGGCGCGGTGGAGCGGTGCAGCGTGGCGGGTTCGGCGGCGGCCAGAGGCAGCAGCAGCAGCGTCCCAGTGAGCCCCAGTCGCCCCAGCAGCTACGTGAGTGGTACTCTCAGCGTGGGGGGTCTGGGGGTGGAGGTACCTGCCCGTACGTCATCCGCACAGGTGACCGCACTGGCCAGACTTGTGGGAGGTTTCACAGGGCGCAGCGCTGTTTCTTTCGCCTCGACGACGCCTGGCGCGAGCAGTTTCCTGACGCCTCTGAGCTGCCCCGCTGGGCTGATCTGCTTAAGAAGGGGATTGATATCTTTGCTCTTGATTATGATGCTATCCTTGCTGCTATGTATGCATTGACTATTAGTGTTGAGGGTGACTGTTACCTGAGTGTACCGCCCGACCCGGGTATTGGGACCAGTGAGGCTGCAGCTCTAGGTGCTAGTGCGTCTGCTGCTCTAGGTCCTGGTGAGGCTGCTGCCCTAGGTGCTAGTGCGTCTGCGTCTGCTGGTACCGCACCTACTGAGGCACTGCACACCTTCACACTGGACTCAGGTGCTTCCCGCTGTTTCTTTCGCGACCGCACTGCCCTAGAGCAGCTTCTTAGACCGGTTGCTGTCTCCCTGGCTGACCCCTCAGGGGGTCCGGTCCTTGCGACCTCTACCACTGCCCTCCCTTATCCTGCTGTCCCGTCTGGCACACTGTCAGGCCTCTACCTCCCCTCGTTCTCTACGAACTTGGTGGCGGGTTCCGCGCTCCAGGACGCGGGTGTTCACCAGTTCACCCCTGCCTACGAGCGTGTGACACACTGCACGTGTGCCCAGACGGGTCGTCACCTGGCTACCTTCACTCGGCAGCCAGGGTCGGACTTGTACACACTGACCACTGAGTCCCCTCAGGTAGCTGCGCCTGCGTCTGCGTCAGGTCAGCTGTCGGCCCCCTGCTCGTGTCGCTCCCTGTCGCACAGGACTGTCCTCTGGCACCACCGCCTTGGTCACCCGTCAGTGCAGCGCCTTCGCGGCATGCACTCCAGGTACCTTGTCTCTGGTCTTCCCAGGGTTCTCCCTCCCCTCCCACCCTCGCCTGCTCCTCCCTGTCTTCCCTGTGTCGAGGGGCGGCAGCGCGCCGCTCCTCACTCTTCCTCGTTCCCTCCCACAGAGGCTCCCCTGCAGACTCTCCACCTGGACGTGTGGGGCCCAGCCCGCGTCCGGGGACAGGGCCACGAGCGGTACTTTCTGCTGGTCGTCGACGACTACACGCGCTACACCACGGTCTTCCCCTTGCGTACCAAAGGTAAGGTCCCTGATGTCTTGATCCCCTGGATCCGCGCTGTTCGTCTCCAGCTCCGCGAGCGGTTCCAGTCGGACTTTCCTATCCTACGTCTGCACTCTGACAGAGGTGGCGAGTTTTCCTCTGACCTCTTGGCAGCCTACTGTGCGGAGCACGGCATCCGCCAGACGTTCACTCTCCCGGCCTCTCCGCAGCAGAATGGGGTTGCTGAGCGCCGCATTGGTCTTGTCATGGAGGTCGCTCGTACCTCCATGATCCATGCGGCTGCCCCCCATTTCCTGTGGCCGTTTGCAGTGCAGTACGCCGCGCATCAACTCAACCTCTGGCCCCGTGTCTCTGTTCCGGAGACCTCGCCTACCCTGCGTTGGACGGGGGAGGTTGGCGATGCGTCGGTGTTCCGAGTCAGGGGATGTCGAGCCTTTGTCCGCGATACGTCCGCGGACAAGCTCTCCTCTCGTGCCGTTCCCTGTGTCTTCCTTGGCTTTGTCCCTGACGCGCCTGGCTGGCAGTTTTACCACCCCACCTCGCGCCGTGTCTTCGCCTCTCAGGACATCACCTTTGACAAGTCGGTACCCTTTTACCGTCTCTTCCCCTACCGCACTGCCCCGCTCCCCCCCCCGCCGCTCTTCCTCACCCCAGGTGTCCCGTCGGTAGACCCCCTCCCCCCCCAGGGTG